TAAAAGACTAGCCGCCACTAGAGTTAGTACAAAGGAAGCAGCATGCCAATACTCTGTAGAAAAGATTCCACATCAGTCCTCGCTTGAGTAGCACTATTCATTTCCCCTTCATACAACAATAGCACTTTTGATGAAAAGACGATTCTCGAAACCCATCGCCTTGGTTAAGCAAGCGATCTTGACGTGTGAGTTGTTGGAGAGGGTGGAGTATGGAGTATTATGGGCTCACATATTTCCATCTTGGTCACTTCAACTTATATTTAGCCTATGTGTGTCATTTGGAAGATCAATCACTTTGTTCTTGTGGGAAAATCCCGACCTCAGAGTTTGCAGTCGATCTTCCAGAGACTCGGAATCGGGGCGCTCCCTCCATCCCTCTGTGCTGGATCTCGAGCCGTCTCTCTGTTTTTGTGGCGGCTCAGAAGGTTGGCTAAAAATTTAGCACATAGTCCTGTCGATCAATCGTGATGGGCCACATACTATTTACTTGGTCGTACATAGTATGTATGTACTCCGTATACATATGTATATGCAATACATGCCTTTGGCCACAAAAGCGGTCGAAAGAGGTCTCTGAAAAGCAAAGCTGAACTAGTTTGATGCATCTCGTCGTGAGTCCTTGCCTCGGGGGGGAGGGCGTCTGGCATGGCGCCCTGTGAATCGTCCAGACACACACCGTTGTTTGTTTCAAGTCGATCGCAGTGCGGAGGAGAAACACAACATCAAAGATCAGCTACTTCCGACGTGCGCCTCGAAACAAAGAGAAAATGTCAACGGCGAACTTGGCTTGCCAGTCCCAGCAACCTGACAATCCCGCTCCAACTTCAGTGAAGAAGATCTGTCCCCAGGACGATCACTTACCCGACATAAGCTTATCCATGGAGTAGCTTATTTCGACCTCAGCACATCGACAATCCCAGACGTCGACTCTATCAACTGTTACAATATACGCTCAACGAGGACCTTCCCCGGCCCCATCGTGATTTGTTTACATCAGATTGCTCCACGTCTTGTTGCCCTACAAAGGCAAGGAAAAAGGAATATCGAAAAACATGGGAGACCATATTGGCAATTCGGCTGTGTTGCATATGGGCCAGGCATCATGTGAGACTGACAACTCTAAGTCTTCTCCGCTCCTTTTTCCGTTCCTGATAGATATCCCAGCGACCGCAGGCCGGTTAAAATGCCGATTTGAAGGGGGAATCACGGAGTACAAAATCACTATAAGAACAAACAACTGTCGGTGGAGAGTAACGCATCAGAAATAAGAAAGTAAAAAGATAGGGGAATGATGCAGCTGGGCTCCGCCTCCTCCGAGAATTCACATATGAAGCACACACAGTATTGGGCAGCGCAGTACAAAGTAGATATACCGACCTATCAACTGGAGCACTACAGGGCACTACGATTGGAGGTTCCGTTGACTTCATCTCAAAGCAACCTTGGCAGCAGCTGTTATTGCCCCTAAAACAGCCAATTATCAATGACAGAGGAATGATTCCGCTGCATAATAGCCCATCGCATCCCTGCAGACGCTGTTACTCAGAATCCAAAAAGACGACAAAGAAGGTCAGGGCGTTTTGGCCGCCTTGGCCTCTGCATTAAACGCTAACTTCCCTTATCAACAGTGCCCAATGCATATACATGCATATAGTCCTAGCTTTTGCTGTTCAACTTGGAGGCGTTGCTGTTGTCCTACTGGTGGATTTTTGGGCTTGAGTCTGATAGACTGCATATGGCGGAAGAACTTTGTGTACGGCAAGTCAAAGCGATGCTCTCCCGTGTGAGGCTTTTCCAGGCTTTTCCACCATGTATGCAAGAACCTAACTAACGGAAAATCTCCATAACTAGCACAGGAAGTTAAACCATGCTTGATTGGATTTATACCCATAGGCCCCGTATTTATGGGTTATTCACGAGTCAAGACGGCTGGGGGAAGACACAAGATCGGACTTTTTTCTTTTTCTCGCTGAAGAATAAGCCCGTGTCGACCAATTGGGGGTGGAAGAATAAAAAAACTAGTAGCCTCGCGCGCGCTACTGGCAATGGACAGATCGCATCCTGCATCGCGACCTGTTGGAAGTCGGAAAACTTTTGCCGGTAGTGGAAAGCTGATGTGAAAGGTAGTTCTCGTCCGCTTTGCCCGCCGCTACTGACATTTCCCGGTTACATGTCAGTCAGCTGTTTGTTGCCGAGACTCGAAGGAAGTATCGATCTGATTTGTCCGATTTTTCGAAGTAAGCTGAAAGTTATTCCTGCTGGGGGAATCCGGGCCAGCTCCCTCCGCCATCCTCGACCCTCCTTTGTCCTACACACCTCTTTTCTGCGGCAAGGCGACGCGACAATATTTAAGCTATAAGTTTTGAGGCTTGATGGAAGAAAGTTAATTAGCGCTTTATTTTATTCGGGACACCCCAAAAAAACATGCTTGTTGTCCTGGATTATACTCGCATGACGGCACTGTCGAACCACGGAACTGTTGAAGGGCGTTCCCCCTTCCACAAATCGTTCTACGGTCTACGGTCTACTACTGGACCTTGGCTTGGGAGGCGGTACATCTATCCTTTGTTCCGCCTAGGAATGCTCTACTACTGACCACTAATTCTATACTACTAGGCAAGTTACATCTACGGAAGTATATATACCGAGCACATAGTTGAGGAAACAAAAACCTTACTACAAAACCCTGAACTCGCTGCGGTTTACTCCAGTTTTTGGATGTAACTTGGCTTGGGGCTTCGTCGACCCCCATACTACTACTTCGTTAGGTGCCTGCGTCCTTGCATATACAACCCTCAAATTGCAAAGCAGGTGAAGGAGGGTAAAGTCAAGCTATGTCACACAGCATTTCATCCCCGATCGCTGGTTTCTCAATCAATCAAGTAATCCTATCCACTCTCAGCCATAAATCCGCTTTGACGACGTTTCCCATCACGAAGAACGTCTGTCCGTTTGTCTATTTGGGTTAACGCAGCTAGCTTCTCGAGCAACCGAGGAATTATTTGTCAACACGATTTCATTTGTATCGGATAAATTATCTCCATCCCATCTCCGTCGGTTGGCCCCTTTTTTTGCTTCTTTGCAGCCCTGCGAAGCGGAGCGCCAGCAACAAAGTTCGAGGAGTGACGAAAGAATTGTTCCCATACTATCATCAGAGTCACCATATATTTCTTTTTTGCGCATTTCTTTTTTTCCCTTTCAAAAAATAAAAAAAATAAAAAGGTTTGAAAGGGCCCCCCTGATCCCTGCAGGGAGAACTAAGAGTTAATCGAAACCCAAGTGACATGGATAGCCCTTGTCGAAAAAGCCAAAACATAGACACTCCCTTCAGAGAAACTCGATACTCACGCCAGCGAGCTAAAGGAATTTGTATATTCCAAGTAGTGGAAAAACCGACCCTCTATCCACGCCCTTTTGCTTCTTTCCTCGCCCACTGTAGCCGTTCCCCCCTCCCCCTAAGCCACCAAAGGCAAAACTGATCTACAGCCCTTGACTGCCAGCAAAACCTTGATCTCTTCAATTGCTGCCTTTTGCTTTCTCTCCCCTTTGGGTCGTGCCCAACCCTCACATATCTGAGCCAATCCAAGCCTGACCATGCCAGCGTCCCGTTGCCCATCATGAACCCACCGGCTCCACCACATCCCTCTCGCATTCACCCCCCGTCTCTCTCCCTTCCGGACAGCGAATAGTTTCTTCTGTTTCTTGCTGGTAATTGTTCGGTCCCGTCATTACCGAGCCTGTATTCGGCCTGTAATGCATTCTTTCTGGGTCCCCGTTTGCTTTTTCGTACCCCCGTTTACCAGAGATACAGCCCTCCTCTCCATGTTGCCTCTTCTCTCGTTGGCAGAACACGCCGGTCGGTGCAAGAGAGGCCGGTATTCGTGTGCCACAAACCCGAGAGCGAAACTATGACATGTCTGCTCCCGTACCAAGTATATATCGCAGGGTTGAAAAAGTCGTCCTGGCAGGAACAACGCAGCTTCAGTTGAACTTTTTGCTTCTTCCGAGCCTGGATAGATGCAGCCGATGCAGCCCTGCGAAGAGATCGGAATGTCAAGCAGGAGGATCATGAAAGAGATCAAGTCAGGCGTAAGATATAAAAGATGCTGTAAGGACTCCGTACAAGTATCGCATTGTATCGAGTATTCTTCGCAGGAATTCCCGTGCTCCACTGTTTTTTTTGCTGTTTTTTCTCACATCTTATCATCCTTGTGGATTCATGCTTGTGGCCTCTCCTGCTCTCCTTAAAATCCATTCGTTGCGTCGAACATCGTAGTGCAGCACCTCCCGGTTCGACCTGACCTTGATCTTTCAACCCAGATATAGTTGATGGGGGTGTGTTCGTTTCATCCTATCCCGACCTTTCTCTCCTCGGTCCTCCACTCTCTCCAGCTTGACGACGACGCCTTTTCTGCTGCCTCTGAGCACCCAGAGAACCCCTTGAATTGCCGCGCTCGTGTTGATATAAACTTGCCCTGACCTCTTCCCTCTGCCCCTTTCCCTTCCCCAAACCCCCAATCAATTACCGATCCAGCTAGCCTCCTTGTCCCTCCGTCATCTCCCAGGCCGCATGCCAGCTGTGCTTTTCTCTTGCACAAAATTTAAACTCGCCCTTGCAAAAATACCCTTGCTGGGGATCGTGGTGCTATCTATCGCCCCGTGAGCAGCCACACGACTAACTTCTCACCAATACTCTGTGGTCCCTTGAGTTTGGCCCCACTGGGAACTCTGATTCCATCAAACAAATATCAGAGACTCCCCTCCACTCTCTCTGCTCTCTTCTTGTTCCTCCCGTTGTGTATAAAGATCAATCGCCAGACATCTTCGGATCTTCCTCGGATCTTCCCTCGTGTATAGAAGTGTCGATCCATCTCGCAACAGCTTCACATACCAACATACCAAGGCACGCACTTGTTCGTCGACCAGTATACAGATTCAATTGACGTCGGTCCTCTACCAGCTTGCATCACAGTCGCGCTCCCGCGCTCACATCTCTCTCAATGACTATGGTTCTGGAGCATGGGCATCGCCAGTATGGCGGTATGGGGTATGATGGCGGCGTATACCAGAGCCATGTCCAGTCCAACCCTCCGCAGTTCAATGATGCATGGTCGGCGCAACCAGCATCTCACCCACCCCCTCCTGCATACCCATCCTCCATGTCTTCTACAAACCCGATAAAGCGTGAGGAGATCCAGAGACCGTTACCGCCAGCCTTGTCCATGCCGTACTCAAGTGTCCCCGTTTCAGCACCGTCGATGGTTCCAAACGGGAGCTATCCTGCAGTGACTTACGGTGGCTCGGAACTCCTAGTGATGCCCCAAGATATGCCTCGAACATCCCTTGAGCAGCAACAGTCCTCGACCACCGCGTCACCCATACACTCATTCCCTCCAACATCATATGGATCACTAGAGTACGCACATTCTCTCCAGTAACAGCAACAGCAGCAACAACAGCAGCAGCAGCAGCAACAGCAAGGCCACCCCCAACAACCTCACCACCATCATCATCATCCCGACAGTCGGCCTCTGCACCCAGGGTAAGTTGGCTCTCCTTTTCACGGAGAGCAGTGAACAGTGAAAGAGAAAACATTTGTTAACGGATATGATAGATCTCAACCTCACTCGCAAGGTCCACCACCCAGCACGTTCGGCGATGCACTGGATGCCAGTCGCGGAATGGTTGCCCTTAGCCAGGACCTTACTCCAAGGGGCATTTACCCACCTCGCGCATCAAGAGGATCAGCGGACTCGTACGGTTTCCCATCAGCTCACTCATCAGCGTCTTCGATTTCATCAGGGAACAACTACCCTTACTACAGTGCATCGGTTGTCTCAGTAGACTCGTCTGTTACAGACTACAGCTCTACAACCTCAGAATCCTACGACGGAATGGCTTCGCGGACACTCCCAAGACCATCCGCTCTCATTGGGGCAATGCCACCAGGACCACAGTCGATGATGGGCCAGTTCAGCTCCAAGGTACCAGCCAACACGCAAAAGAAGCACAAGTGCAAGATTTGCGACAAACGGTTCACTCGACCCTCTTCCCTGCAAACACACATGTACAGCCATACTGGTGAAAAGCGTAAGTTCCTTCCCGTCTTTCCCGCACGGTGAAACGCCAAAAAACGATTACTAACTGTGAACCAGCATATGCATGTGACGTCGAGGGTTGTGGCCGCCATTTCTCTGTCGTTTCCAACTTGCGACGCCACAAGAAGGTTCACAAGGGCGAGAAGGATTCGGGCTCTCCCGAAGAAGAGGAATAGTCAAATACGTTACAGTAGGATTCAAAGCAGAATACCGCATTCCAGTTTCCGGATTACTCAGCAAGGCACCTTTATTTTCGGCCTGGCCCCCGGGGAGTGTGAAATACTCCCGGTTTCACGACGATCGATCTATATACCCACTGCATATTTTCCTTCCGGACAACACATTACATCCTTTATCCCCGTTCTCGACCGAATTCCAACATCGCAATACCTCTTCTGATACCTTGTATACTAGGTCTAGCTTTATTTCCCTTCTTCACGTCCCATTTTGCAAACTCACTTTTTGCCCTCGGGAAACACTCTTATCTGATACCCATTCGACAGGAGCATCTTTTTTTATTCTTTTCACGTCTTTCTTTTCCCTCGTTTACCTCACGGCGGTGCACTGAATTATACACATGGGGCAATCGGGGCGCGACCCCCAAACCGGTACGGGGTATCAGGCTATTTGTTATAAATCGGCACTCCGAGCCGAACCCCTAATGTTTTCCTTTTTTTTTTCCCCTATCTATTTCTCTTTTCTCCTTTTTTCCTTTTTTACTCGTGACTTGCGATAGAAGGGAGTTTTCTCTTTTTGTTTTACGATTTGTTATCTCTTTTTTTTTTCCTTGCAGGCTTTTGTTGCCCTGGGACATTCGGTTTTCTTTCGATATTTTATACGATGAATTCATATACCCTGCCCTTCGTCGAGTTTATCTTCTCCATTTTTACACTTGTTTTGGCCCACGCTAGAAGGGAGCGCCATTTGCATTCATTCATGTCTATCAGCATTACAGTCAAGATACTTCAAAGGGTATCTTATCAGATTCGGCTACCTAGCATTTAATGAATACTATGTTATGCAAACCTCCTTCCTACTAACTTCTCATCCCTGTCGTCTGCTAGTCTTGGTGTGATGGATGGTAGGTTAACTTTCTCCCCAACTTGTATATGCTCGCTCCTGTTTGTCCCTTGGTCCGTTAGCTGATTTCTTTTAGGCTTCATATCTAGCTTTGCGCTCTGGTAAGTAACCTATGCCCACCACGCCAAGCGAAAACTTTGCGATACACCAGATATCTCCAAATCCCGTCTCCTTCTTACTCGTTAATGTTCTAGTTTGTGGTCCTTGTCGCGACTCCTCTTATCCAAGTCCACTCATGACCACTCCTGACCCCCATCGACCTTGTTGATAGCATCGCTAATATTATTATTCTCTAGACAATGTTTCATTGACCTAGTTTCGCCTAGTTTCGCCGAACCTACAGAGAGGTATGAATCCTATGTTCGAAAAGGCGAGAGGCCAAGCAATACTTAAAAAAAAAAATGAATATATCCAACAAGACGGTGACCCTGGACGAGCCGTGCCTTGCTGCTCTGGCCAACCCAACAGTCAAAAGGGCCAGATGATGTTGCGGGATATGTCACTCTATTATGCTTTCCCACCGCAGGGTTACCTGGCAGAGATCGTAATACGATGACACGTTCATGGTTTCTGGATCGCGACCAAGGCAAGGGCTGCACTGACAGATAAACGGCGAGAGCGTCGTGCCCAAGTGTTTCAATCCAGCCCGTCTCGAGGCCGGAGGTTGATATTAGTGCTTAGTCAGTAGTGGCATCAGGAATCGGTAAAACACGACGAGCCGACGTGCCAAGAGTTTCGGTCCAGGGGCCACGACTTCTCCCTTTTGCGGCAGAGACAAGAGGCATCAGGGGGAGCTGAGACCGGCGATATTAAGGGACGGTTCACTCGTGCTCGCCCACAGTCGTCGTCTGCGGTTACAGATACATGTGCGACCTCATTTACCCCCGCGTGGAAGGACTCCGCCCCGTTAACGGCATCCCCATCGGCCGTGCTCTGAAGGGAGATCATCCATGGAGATCATTCAGGGAGATCATTTTAGGGGGATCTCTTTCGGGGGGGGTCTCTGACGGGAATCGCTTACGGGAGTCGCTTAGGGGAATTTCGTTAAGGGGGCGCAGAAATAGTACCGATATCGGAAACACGACCCGGGACCCAGGCGAGGAATTAGGTGATGCCCATCCGCCCGAAGAATTTCTTTTTAAGTTACGCTATTAGGCCTCTATCCGGCTATTGATACCGTAGGCGTCAAGCCTGTCAAGCTGTTTTTCTGACCGTTTGCGCTTGCTGGGTGAGGACTGGCTGTTTCGGCCGCTGGCTACATATATTGAGGCCGCGCCGAGTCATCGAAGCATCATCTTAAACAATTGCAACCACACCTCTAATACTATATACTAAGTCTATCACCTTGGGGGAAGACTAAATGTTATATTTGCATTTCGCCTAACCTATTCTCATAGATAATGCGGAATACTTGTAGCTCCAGGGCTATCTATATTGACATATTCCACCCAACCAGGAATATTATGCACAATACCTTGCTCTCAGCCCCAGCTATTCTATTTTACTCAGGACTAAACAAGCTTTCCCCTCAAGTCAGAGTTCGGCGGTAGATGTTTATGCTAGGACTCTGTGACTAGCCTGGATGATCTAGGGCTTTAATATCTGGCACACATATCCGGTGAACCGAGTCAATGCAACCTTCTAAAATTGGCTGCAAATATACATCACTGCAATATGCGTCTTTGCGGTAGAGTTTCGCTCATGGGCTTACGTCGTCACTGCGAAAACCACGACGCATGTCTTAACGCGTCAACTGCCTGGTACACTACACGGCTAAAGCGGGTTTGCATGAAAAAATCTATAATTCCAAGGTGCTTAACCTTTAATACTTACGTGACATATCTCCGAGGAACATATCTATTATGACTCCGGGGCCGCGAGTCAATGATACCCAACAAACTTATCTGATTTAACGCTTCCTCGCTTATTCAGTGGCCTTTTAATGACCAGTGGCTCGGTTATCTAAATTCTACCAAGTGTGGGTTGTTCTCACACAGACACACACATTTATTTATTTGATACACAGGCTACTGCTTCTAGGGAATTACTCTCAGCCGACCAATTTTCTAGCTTAGGTCCGACAACGTATGCTGAAGTATGTTTAAGTGACAAACACTCATTGTTGGTCATATGAGCAGAAATAGTAGCACGCGAAGGGATATTAATTAAATGATAAGTCATGCATCTAATGAAAAATCAAAAGGTGGGGAAATGCTAATGGCTTGGAGGCGTAGCACAAACTATTATATGAACAGGATATATCCTTAGCGTGCGTATGTGCAAGAGGCTGGCTAAAATAGCATGTCAAGTCGATAAGATGTGTAAGTTGTGTGGTAGGATACGAGTTTCGAGGAACGTCTAAAGGCTTCTAACGAATACGGTCCAGCCGTGATCTGTTCATATGAATTTGATCGTCCACAAAGTCGCTCTGGAAGAAGAAGGAAAATGGTTAGATAAGTCTACACCAATGACGAGACGATGAAAAAGATAGGGCAGATATAATACCTTTCCAATGATACGTTTGATGTGTGGGTCCTGTTCGTCGATCTCCCTTCCAGTAGCTTTAGCAAGCGCGTTCAACCGAGTGGCAGCGCTATGGATGGCATCCAAGTTAGATTCAATCTCGTTCTCCATCTCATCATCCTCGCTATCTTGTTCAAATTGATATTTTGACCGCTCTGCAAGATTGGTCTTCTTTGGCCCGTTTTCACCTTTCCTCGATATCTCTTTAAAGGTCTGATCCATTCGCTGCTCCGTGCGGAATGCAGCTAGTCTGGTCTCCTCACGCTGCTGACGCTCATCCTGGTGACGATCGATAATGGCTTGGTCACGAGCACGACGACGTTGCTCGCTAGTGAAAGGGTTTGAAATGTGCATAGCAAACATGCTCCCGTTTACTTTCTTCAATTCCCTGGCCTTTTCCTCGGCAATTCGGTTCTGGTTAGCGGCCAAGTCGAGATTCTTCTCGGTGTTGTGGATTCGTTCACCCTGAGCACCTAAGCGAGCAAGGGTAGCTCGTCCACTCTCCTCGGCTTCAGCAGCTAGCCTAAGTGCATTTCGAGTTGAAGATACATCCTGTTGTTTCATAAAGCGGATGTCTTGTTTTATAGCCTGGACGTCTTCCTCCTCCTCTTCCTCTGCAGTGAGTTGACGATCCTGGTATGTGCCATAACTGGGGCCACTGGGACCACCGGGCGCCGGGTTTCCTCCGGGTTGCTGTCCGCCATAGGAGGAGCTAGATTGGTATGGAGGAGGCGCACCGCTAGGCTGTCGTTCTTGGTATCGACTGGGAGCGTTTCCGAAGAGGGCATCCCTGTTACCATCTTTCATGCTTGGGTCGTTGGGATCAGCCCTTCCGAGACCACCGTAACCGCCTGAATTCGAAGGAGGGCCCCCGCCATATCTATCTTGCCCATAGCTCCCTTGATTTCCTTGCTTCCCTGGGGCAAAACCGCCGTTCGAGGAGCCGTATCCTTTCTCTGACCCGCCGTACGCTTGCTTGGATGGGTTGTTTTGGTAACTTCCTGGTTGACTCATTCCGCCATAGGCCTGAGGGCGTGATCCGGGCTGGGAGTAAGGGTCTGTCGAAGGCGGAGGCTGGGCGTAAGGGTTATTATTCGGTGCTGCGGGACTTTTATTCTTTGATCGTGAGCCAAAGAGAGCTGATCTGCTGCTGTCCTCCCCTCCATCATCACTTCGTTTGCCAAATCCAAATTTCTTCATCTCGCTTGGAAAAGGGGCGGGGGGTTGGTAGAATGTTGGAGCGGGATGTATATCACGGGTCGACGTCAACGGCAGGTAACTTTTGGCGCTCAGTATGACTTCTGTGGTAATTATAGGGTAGCAGACGTACTCAAATCAACCCTGAGATGCAAAATGAAGCCCTGGAGGCTGTAGACTGTCTTCGACGCTGAGATTATGTGTCTCAGGAGGAAGAAGCCTCCCCCCATATCCACGTAGGCAAATGCGTATATCACGTGATTTATATGTGGCGGAGTGGACTACGCAAGGGCTAAACCCAAAAGGGCATTATTCAACCGCGAACTACGACCTCCAGGCTTCAACATACCCAGCTTCATCACCGGCAACGAGGCTTGTACGTTGAGGCGATGCACCTGAAGTCTTTCGGGGACACTATAGCCCACCCCCCAATACCGTTCCAAACAACCAGAACCTAAAATATGGCTCCTCATCCGGGATCCGAGGCGGAATATATCAAGGAAAAAGCCAGGAGAGATCTCCTTAATCTTCTCGAAGGGGTAAGCCTACAAGCCCTATAATTTGATGATATACTTGTCTCACACTGCGTCTTCAGGTTCGTGGCAAGAAGAATCTTGTGGTCAGCAAAGACCTGGCTGGGCCGGTAGGCCTCTTCGTCAAGTTCTCTGTACTCCAAGAGCATGGGGTAGATCGGGTGTTTTTACTCGAGAATGAGAATGTCGATTCCTCTCAACGGAACGTTGTATTTCTAATTCACGCGGAGAAGCCAAGTCATGTACAATCCGCTGCTGGTACGTGCTTGGGACCATTTATCTTTTTTTTTTTGCATCCTCTTTCTTCTCATCTACTCCACATATCAAGATGTGATGGGCCAAAACAGAGACTACGTAGAAAGTGTACACTCTACGTAGTCATACATGTTCCCTAAATTAATTCACTGTATTTTGGATAATATTTATATTGCATCCTCTCTCTAACAGTAGGCCGAATGCCATAAATATAAGCTGACACACCCGCTATTCACGATTTAGATCAAATAAAACGCCTCCAGAAAAATGATGCTAATACTGAGCATGAATTTTCGGTGTTTTGGGTGCCGCGGCGCACTCTGGTATCTAACCAGATCCTGGAAGAAGCGGGTATCATAGGCGACGTTAATATCGCTGAATTTCCCTTGTACTTTCTGCCTCTCGAAAACGATGTCCTTTCCTTAGAGTTGTCAGACTCGTTCAGTGATTTGTATCTGGTATATCTTGCCTACATCTCTGACAAATGATATCAGCGGCTCACAATTTATAGGACAACAATCCTCAGCCAATTCATCTCTCGGCCAAAGCCTTGATGCAGATTCAACTACGACATGGCTTTTTCCCACGGATCGTTGGGAAAGGGGACAATGCTCGAAAACTTGTTGATCAATTGCTTCGGATGAAGAGGGAATTAGATGCTGACGGCGGCGTGGATGGTTCTGGAGGAAAGCTCATGGCGAGCAATACCATCGAGAACCTTATCATAATTGATAGGGATGTAGATTTTGCTACAGTTTTAATGACACAGCTAACTTACGAGGGTCTTGTGGATGAACTCTTTGGGATTAACCATAACCATACCGAAGTCGACTCCTCGATCATTGGATATGCCGCTCCCCAGGCTTCATCGCAGGGTCAAGCCTCGAGCGCTGCTGCTACTTCAAAACAGAGTCTAAAGAGGAAGATTCAGGTCGACTCTTCTGACCAGCTATTCTCCCAGCTTCGTGATGCAAATTTCGCAATTGTTGGCGGCATCCTAAACAAGGTTGCGAGAAGGCTAGAAAGCGACTATGAGAGCCGTCACGGTGCCAAATCAACCTCAGAACTTCGCGAATTCGTTAATAAATTACCAGCATACCAAGCAGAACATAGTAGTTTGAAGATTCATACTAATCTTGCCGAGGAAATTATGCGTCATACCCGATCAGATATATTCCGCCGAACACTTGGAGTACAGCAAAATATCGCTGCTGGGGCGGATTCCACATCTCAGTATGATGCGATCGAAGAGCTCATCGCCCGTGGTGTTTCGATTACGACCGTTCTAAGACTGTTGTGTATAGAGTCTTGCATTAATGGCGGCCTCCGGCCAAAGGATTTAGAAAACTTCAAAAAACAAATACTCCAAGCGTACGGATATCAACACCTTCTGACTTTCAATAATCTGGAAAAGATGGAACTCCTACAACTGCGAGCTCCGGTAGGGATGATACTCCCAACCGGCGGTTCAAGCACCTCTACGGGCACGAAGACAAATTACAAATACCTCCGCAAAGCTCTTCGTTTGATAGTAGACGAAGTTGATGAGCAAACCCCAAATGATATATCCTATGTTTATAGTGGGTATGCTCCTTTGAGTATTCGACTTGTCCAATGTGTCCTGCAGAAGTCATATATTCAAACGCTCATTAAGGGGACCCCCTCACCACAAGCTGCGGCTGCAGCCGCTGGTGCGTCATCTACAACTCCAGGCTGGCTAGGATTTGAAGATATTGTTAAGAACGCCCGTGGCTCGACTTTCAACATAGTCCCAAAAGGTGACGAAAAGGCAGCGCGAGCTCGGCAGACCCTGACTGGCTCTGGAGGAGTTAAAACGGTGTTCATTTTCTTCCTGGGTGGCATTACATTCACTGAGATTGCTGCTTTGCGATTCATCGCCCAAAAGGAATCCGGACGTCGGAATATCGTGATCTGTACCACGGCGATTATGAATGGGGACAGGATGATTGATGCGGGGATGGAGCAAGGAAGTTTTGCGAAATCTGCAGGATAGACCTCCAAGAATATATAGATAATAAAGATGCTTCCACGGTGTGTCTATCTTTAGGCCCTACCTTTTCCTCTGAGATACTAAAGTCAACAACCCATACACTCTGCACTTGCTGTCTAGATCGCTCTATACCAAAACTTCTAGATCACCCAACGCAGTTTCCAGATTACTTAACTGTAAAAAACTCAAGTGAGCCATACAACTCAGTGAATACGCGCTTTTAGGTCACTCGGTTCCTGAGATCACCTCGACGTCATGTTCGGCGAGATAAACCAAACCATCACCCACACATTTTATTGCGGCTACTCATCCTTGGACAGAGGAGTTTGTCTTCAAATATGCACCGAGAATGTTCGAAGGCGCCATCCCAACGAAAGGCATCGCGGTTGCGGCACTCGAAAGGGCAATTTCTTCCAACCTCTTCTCTCACTTCCCTTCGTACGTTGCACTCTTCCTTTGTTCCCGTACGCATATATACTAAGATGATTCCTAGGACATATACAGAGACTATTGCGTTTACGGAATCTCCGAAGTATCTAGTCCACCAGCTACTATACGAAGGTGCTAGGCCGGAGTTTCCCCCTGTGCTACGCGATCTACCAAACATAGCTCTTATCTATGAAGAAAAACTAGACATAAAGCCGGAGTCCATTGGATAATCCCTTATATCTTTCCCTTAAGACTTGACCAGACATACTCCGATGGGACGGTCAACCACACACCTTATTATTACCTAGTATAACGTCACAGAAAACTAGAGTTAAAGAATACCCTTAAGAGACTGCCAGAAGGGTGTGACTGTATCTCAACCCAAATAAAATTAATAGAGATATATTTAAAAGTTAATACTCTGTCGACTTTTAAACTAAGAATAATATGTATAGTGAACCTAGATAGTGTAATATTTAATGTATTGGACGCAGTAGAATATTTTATAAATACACGGGAAAAGAAAGGGTTGCGCTCAATTCGAATTACAGAACCGCGAAATGCACAGACAAATGAGAAAACACCTGCGCTGCAAAAAAAATACCAAAAAGAACTATATGACGAACTCCCCGCCAGTTTAACCTTGATTACAAAATGATGCCCAATTCACTTCTACCTAAACCATCCTCCTCGATCGTAGGATAGTATGGAATCATCGAGTCCGCACCTTGAACATAGGCGTCATTGTACAACCTCCAGTAAGGGGTTCGTACTTTGCGAGCTGGGTGGAATAGACCAGCCCAGACATAGTTCATGACGATACCTGTCCCGACGGCCATGCGAATAGCTTCGATAGCTTCAATGATTCGATCGATGACGTGAGGACTGGTTTCGAAAAGATTAGGGTATAGGAGATTAAGAAGATGAACCATAGCGTCTTCACATCCGAGTCCAACCACACCTAAGGCGATATGCTTCACCACACTAGCAGCGGTTTGACGATGGACCTGATCTCGATCGATCAATGCATCTTCCAGTAGGGGAGTAACGGCGTAGACGTAATCTTTGGCCATTTCGCCAATGTATTCGAAAAGGAAAGACATGGCTTTTAGGACACCGTTTTGCACGTTTAGCTCGGGTACTCGATATTCGTTCATAAGGGCGGGAAGAACCGTGAACGGAGCACAAGTTTCTGCAACAATACCGATGGCAACAGCAGTACAGACTCGGGATTGACGTTCTTGGACACGGAGGTTATTGAGAAGTGTAGCGAGAACATCTTGCGGACCGATAGCCTTGGCAATAAAGCCAAAGGTGTTGTTAGCAGCTCGTCGAATTCCCTTCTTGTGTGCTTTTAGCATGTCGAGTAGTTCAAAACAGATTCGCATCCATTCTCTGGCATTGACGGACTCAGGTCCACGGTCAGCAATACGACCGACTAGGTCAATGGTATTTTCTTGCACTTTCTCGTGGCGATTTCGGAGGATAGGCGTGAGGCGGGGAAGAAGGTCGCGGATAGGGGGTTGCATTTGATTAATGCCGACAACAGTGACAATGGATCGCAATGCGCCTAATATCGAACCCAGGACCTCTGGGTATTCCTCACCAAGGTATTCGTAAAGGAAAGTGCCGAGTTTGCCCATCAGGGCATCTTCACCGCATTGCTTCATAACCATTGCAATTCGTGAAATAAGATCTGCCGCTTGTTGTCGTACAGTGGCGGACTTGTTATTGAGACGCCAGAGAATTGTACTCACAATCTGGGGTAAGTATGGTTTGCATCGGGAACCGAGAGCATTGACAACTGTACCAAAACCATTGAGTATTACTATATCTTCAACGCTCTGCTCTTGGAATGCGAACAAAACACCGTCGATTAGCCTCTCTTCGAGTCTCTCGCCAACATCTGCGGCACCAAGCGAGGCGATAACCTTCTCAACCGTTTCAATGGTCATCTTGCGGTATGCCTCGCTCTCATCTTTGAGATTGTTCACGATCCTTTCAAGTATTTCACCGGCACCAACTTTCTGGCCTAGGTCGACAGTTGTCTCCACAACTTGGCGGTAGTTCCTCTTGTCCAACGCCATGCGTCGAACCCAGAAACTCTTGAAGAAGTCCTGAAGTACGTGCTCCTTTAAGTAAACTGCGGTAACACCATCCGTCCCTGCGCACTGTGATACAACCTTTAACACAACCTTCTTCATTTCTTCGTCAGGGGATGAAAATTCCCGGAGTACAATTTCCATGATTTGACTGGTAAAGTAATTTGCGCCCTCTTCATCCATCAGCGGAATAATATAACCGACAGCCTTGAGGAAACCTGCCAAGCCTTTGCCTCGTTGCTTCCTTGCTCCCATCCAGAGAGGGCCGAGAATATCTTGGAAGCTCTCGATACCGTAGGGGTTAGCAGCCTCAGCAAGGGCGGCAATGGCTAAACTGGTTACCGTCCTAACCTTGGCTTGCTCGTCGCTAAGATTGTCTCCAATACAGTCCACAAGGCCTTGTAGATGCGGTAGAATAGCACAGCCCATGAGAATTGGGATTTGCTGTACAATTTTGACACCAGTGTGCCTAGCTTGCCAGGATTTCTTACTTCGACAGACAGCTCTCAAGAACGGAAGAAGGGCAGGTATACCAAGGGCAGAGGCGACGACGGCGAATGCCCTGGCGGTAGTATTTCGTACGTATTCATCAACATGGTCAATGTCCGGACGCATGGTACTAATCATATGGGCAAGACCAGCAGCCTTACTCAGGTTAGAAATAATCTCACGACCTTCAACTCGAGCATAATAGTCCTGATCGATAAGTAGAGGCTCTATGACGACCAAAATCTTATGCACGTAAGGTCGAACAAGGTCATCAAGCTTGTATAGGATACGATCGATGACCTTCACGAGCAAATGTCGTTCCTGGTCTTCAAGAGACTTCTCCATTAACAAGGGTAGAATCTGGTTGAAAAGCGGGCCAGCTCCAAACTGCCTGGCGTTGTCTGTAAGCTGACGTAGTGCTGTTTTTCGCATTGGCGGTGTTCCGTTCTTGACTTTCAGCAATAGCCTCATTATCTTTCTCTCCTTTAGGTCGTCAACAGACATTGAGTTCTCATCTGCGCCATCGACGAGCTTTCCGAAGTATGCCATATCTTCAGCCTTAAAAAATTGTAGGTCGCCAACCCCGGGAATTTCGGTAGGGAGCTGTTTTCCCATGGAGCGGGCGTTTTCAGGTTCCTGCATCATGAACCCACCGATGCCACTGGCGCTCTGCATTGGAGCAGGTGTAGACATAAGCTTTCGAGCAGGTGTTCGAATTGGTGCGTACCCGGGCGGGGGCTCCAAAATTTTATAGCCTTCAGAGGGAAGCATCATGTCTAGTTCTTCGTCTGATAAAGGTGCATTGCGAGCAGATATATCGGAACCGAACGCTGGCACAGCCATGGGTCCAGAAGCTTGCGGCACCGGCGTTGCGAGGCCTTGGTTACCAACTGGGGTTGCAGCAGTGAGCGTTGGCGCTTGATCCCATCTGGATCTACGTTTTGGAGCCTCAGCCTGCCCGCCGGGTACTGGGGTTTGGTCCCATCTCGACCTTTTCGGCTTTACTTCAGCAGATTCTGGCTCAGTAGGCTTAGTGGACTCTTCCGAGGGTACATCCCACCTCTTCTTCCTCTTCCTACTAGCTATAGCAGAGGCCGAATCGTCTTCCTGGTTCTCTTTGTCACCCTCTTGTAGCTTGAGGGTCGCCTCGTGCTCAACCGATCCATTCGGTTCCTCGCCTGCTTGCTTATCGTTTATTAACCTCTTGACACGCTCCTCTTCTTTCTCAATTTCCCGAAGCGCCATGATATCCCGATAGCTTGCACCTTCTGCATCTCCATTTGCTTGGCCATCCGCAGCAAAGGGGTCCGCTCGCGTTGGGGAAAGAGCTCGGTCGAAGCGCCGTTTCTGATAGTCGGTTTCCCTCTCGGATATCCTAGATGTCTTTTCGCGCGCCAGCAGTATATCTTCTTCCTCCACACCTTTTCCGGTAGCAAATTCTTTCATCTGCTCTGAGGTTGCGGTATACTGTCCAACTAGTCGATGACCGTTTTGGCCATCATCGTCGTCGGCCATATCCTCATCTTCGCCGTCGACCGCGATGGACGTATTATAACCTGCATATTTGTCGGAGTTCTCGCGATCGTACAAGGTGGTATCGAAGCTTTCGGTGAGAGAGGCCTTGGTCGAGACGTCAGTGCGCTGGTTTGACAGGTCAAAGGTTTTTGAACCTTTCTTTCCATTCCGCTCCGCCTGGAGGCGTTTGATGGACTCGATCTCTGCTATATTTGATAACGTGTTAGAGTATGTATGTGACAATGGTGGTGTATAACTTTTTGAACGCATACCGTCAGCCATCGTGTGGCGATGTGTGAGATATCTCAGATCCGGGGAGAGGAGGTTGCGAAAACGGGGTTAGAGGTAACCATAGATGTCATGAGCCTGTCGAATCAGACCACTGGCACCAGAGTCGGCAGCTTGACGATGTGTTGCTGTTGTCGCGACGATTCTTCGAGCTGTCTCTCCTCGACGCATCAATCTGAGCCTTCTGCAAATGTTTTGGCGCTGTATATGACTAAGTACTGACTAAGTTTATTGACTAAGCGTGATAACTAAGCAATATGACTAACATACTCACGTGACTCTATCATTCTTCTGGCCCAAACGGGCAAGTCTTAACTTACAAGGCCAAAAAGGCGAAGAAGACGATGCTAGCTAGCTTTCGCCCCCAAATATCTGGTATCCACGTTTGATGAATGACTTGCAGGACTTACCAAGTGCGAGCTCACATTCCGAGATGGCCTTCCATGCCATGCTTTCGATTAAGTCGGCCCCCAACGTCCCGCTAATTACTCCATGTGGTTGGACTCTTCTGGAAACTCTGCTTTTGGATGAATATCGAACATGGGACAAGGCTGCTCAAACCCGATATCAAGCGAGGTTTCGCAAGATTCAAACGGAGACATCCAGCTTCTATTTTGGCGATTCGCACCTCTTGCGCCCGAATGAATGAAAGCGTTTGAGTATCACAGCTCAACTGCTTTACTCCGTCTCGCGTACTGCAATATGACCCGGTCGATATCTATAGCCGTGTCGCGCCATTTATATCTGCGTTATTTAGGAGGCACCTTTGTTCTTCTCAAAACACCAAGGCTGCCTTGTTTACTGTTGAGAGGGACATCGGCCTATCCTCAATACGTGGAAGCGAGCCTATAATCCTTCTCCTAGGGTCTGGAACCTTATACACTTCTCGCCCCCGAAATAACACGATACAACCATGCATTTTTTACCTAAAAATGTATGATCTGTCTCTATTAGTCTTTCTAGTAGATGGCATCCCAGTACATTCGTTTCTGCATTCCTCGACACCTTTCCGGAATAAGACTCTGGCATCCCGCTTTAGGCATTCTTTGGCCGATTTTGGTTCAACGACATGCACGACTGACACTTGTACATACCCACCTGGATGATACTGCATTCCTTCAGGCTCCTTCCACATGGAAATCTTATTTCTTTCTGACTAAAAACGGATCAAAAAGGTTTGTGCTGCCGGGCGGTTCGAGAAAGTCACCTCTTTCTTGGCTTCACCTGTAAGCAATCTCCTTTGCCTATCTGCTGGATATACCCGTGGATGCTATACTTTTTTAAATGCATTTAATGTCATGTCCTGTCCATTTTATATTCATCTTTCCTACCCCATTCCTTGCCCATATACACATTCTACCCCTAGGCTTTTACCTGATCTTCCCAAGTCGATAATAATTTAATAACTACACCAACACAATGCATATCCTTGAGCCTTTTGTCCCTCTTCTAGCCCTCCTTTCAACAGTTCGGGGTGCCGCCATACACCCCGCACAAAAACCAGACGGTTTGACCGCTATAGAGCCCATGTTTCCTTCAATGGGCCAAATATCTGGCTGTGACATTTCCAATAAACTACTTCCGAAACGAGGGAGTGCCCCGGAACTTCCAGGTCCCGACTCAGGATTTAGACTCAAATATATCACTTTGGGCGTCGGGACTCAAAACTACACCTGTAGCAATGGTGCTACCAAGCCAGTCTCTGTTGGCGCCGTCGCAACCCTCTACGATGCCTCTTGTCTAGCCTCTATGAACCCGACGACTGCAAATGTTATTAATACGATTTCTCTACGTTATCCCAAACAATCGACGAGTTGGATGCTTGAGAAAGTCCTAAAGATGACTGTTTTGGGCCATCACTACTTCACTGGAGGCAAACCAATTTTTGACCTTTCAACTCACGGTGGCTCAGATAAGGCATTTGTATCTGTCGTCGCAAATGTTCCTGCACCCAATAATGGCGATGTGGCCTGGCTAAGGTTGGACAAAACAGAAGGGTCTGGAATTAAGGTAAGCTTCCTCTTCACCTACCGCAGGGCTTAACCGGTCATGCGTACGGTTCCTGGAAGTAAGCTATATGCCGTGATAATGACTGACTCCATGATAATGTGTAGGCTGTTTTCCGAGTCAAAACTACTCAGGGTACGAGTCCCGAAACATGCCGAGGGATGGCTCCTGCTTTCCAAGTCCGCTATACGGCGCAATATTGGGTTTACGGTTGAGCAGCGAGTTTATACAACCACGCCGCAGTACACCACTATATTGATTTCACACTTCATTATGTTCTGGAAAGCCGTGCGTTTAGAAAGGTACGGCGATAAGAGGTAGCACGGGTAGGGTACAACGATACTGTTGCCCGTATACACGAATTGCAATTTATGTATGCATTAATTTAAAACTACGACCACCTCTTTATGTGCTACTAAACAATTTCCGTTGGTTTCTAAGAATGTAATATTGCTCGAATGACAAATGCGTACCGCCAACCGCTAAGATACATACATACAGTAATCACGGGAAAAAAATAATTGCAAAAAAACTGTCCCTCGTTGAAGGCCCAAGCAAATATATTAAGTATTAGTTCCGGCCAGCCGCAAATAACATGTCAAGAATGGGAAGGGTATGTATCACAAAAGCCAACGGTATACCAAAAAGCGCTAAGAATGCATGCAAAAAAATCATCAAAACAAAAATCGTAGGAATGGCCGTGAGGCCATACATGATCGCACTCTGAACCTCGAAAAAATAAAACTGTGTATGGTTGCCCATTCTGTTTATCATGATATACGCTAAGATTCATGAAAATATGCAAGGAAATCGCAAATATTAAAATGTGACGTATAAATGCTGATATAGAGATGGGTCATAAAATGTCATTAGATTCGTTGGCAAATCACTCATCAAGGAGTTGGAGAATTCAGAGGTGCCTGGGTATCGTCGGTAAGAGGGTAAATAGAAATAGTGGGTGGTATGGTATATATATGCAAACTTCATGGCGTGGATAATTATACGCTCGCTGTTCTTCTTGTGACTTCACTGGGTTTCTGTGCATAGGCGATAAGTAGCCTAAACCCAGTGCCGCGTCTTCTGCATTCTCGTAGAAGTTTCTTGTCAGCCCAGATATCCTTGTTATGGCTATCGTTGAAGACGGCTAGTTCGTAACACCGTGTATGCCACCATCGAGCAACTTTTGCGACCATCTTGGCAATGGACTCGTCGTTTGATGGTGAAGGTGAAGGGTCAGAGAGGAGGTCACCGAGTGAGATGTTCACATCGTCAGAAGGGTCTCGTTTGTGCTTCTTGTTCGACGTGTTATCTGCCCACTGGGGGAGATTGGAGCCATAATGTTGATGTGGAATGTTTGCGATAGATTGGCTGGAACTTGAGGTGTCTGACGATTGTACGATGGTACCAGCAACAGGAACAACGACCATACACCGATTCAAATTGGCAAATCCTCGCTTGCCAAGAAGCCTTTGGATGTTGTCGCTGGCAGGCTTGAGACAAATGTTAGGATCCGTTGTGTAGATTCGTTCTTTTAACATCCGAACTGCCTTCCGAGTACGGCTACCCATGTTGACCATATCCAAATCCATGACGCTGAGCTCTAGGTATCCACCGGGGCGGAGAACACGATTGCACTCTGAGATGGCAGTGTCATATGCAGTTTCAGAGCATGCTGCTGGGAAGCGCATAACAGCCACGGTAAAGAATCCCTTAGGGAAAGGGAACGGTGTCTTTATACCGGAGCGATGGATGGTACGATGATTCGGTGGAGGGTCCCATGCCGCTGGATTACTTGGTGCCGACTGCGGTTGAGTATTGGAGGTGAGGTTGTAAACGACTGCAGAAGGGTAAGTCAAGGCACAGTAAAATGACCAGTCATCATTGCCTAGGCCATCAATAACTAGAATGCGAGCTTGATCCTGCGGTTGCATATGATTTTTCGCTGGACTAAAGAGGACACGACCGAAAGATAACCAACGGCTTGTCATGAGCGAGCCTGAACGGACGTTCGCCTGCTCCATTGGGTCATCATGGTCCTGATCTTCTTCAATCGGTTGGAGATTATTCTCTTTTTGTATCTGCTTCGCTTGATTGGCATCAGGTTGTGTTTCTTCTTCCAGAGCGGCATATGGATTATCGACACCGGTGAAGTCTGCGGAGTTTTGCTTGCTCCCAGCGTACGCTGATAGGAGTTCACCGAGTGACATGGGTTCAGAGGGTGCAATGGATGAGTGCAATGCAGAGAGAATCATAGAACGGCTGAGGTGGATCGAGCTGTGGTCAGGTAATTTAGGCGTAGAAATTTCCGGGTATTGCAACTGCAATGGGGAGATTTGAGGAGAAACGTCTTTAGTTCCGCTCAAGCCTTCTTGCAGAACTTTGGAAGCTCTGGTAGCCAAGTTGAAGGATCGAGGAGTGTGCAAGAGGCCATCTTCTGGGGTCTGCGGCGATGTCACCTTGTCTAGAAAATCATCGTATTCTTGCCAGATTTCATCGTCTGTAAGCTTTGAGCCGGGGAAGGGGAGGACTGCAGTAACAGCTGCCAGACTTCCACTATCCGCACTCTCAGATGAGACTGAAACCTCGGAGCCTTTTCTTGGAGAAAAGGAAAGAAACTCCTCTCGGGTTGGTGGACGTAGGCCGAATCGATTCGGTGGGTTATCAGCCATACCCATATGGGTAGGTACTCCAGCTGCGGCCGTCACGGTTAGAGAAGGTCCTTCTCCCACACTGAAAGGGCGCGAAAACGATTGGAGGGATGGCTTGTGCTGGTTCCTCGCACTTGGGACGACTGGAGGTATCCTACCAACAGAAGCTAAGCGGCTGGGTCGACCTGTCCGAGCAACCTTTGACGCTGAGACTGGGGGAAGAATGTCCGTGTTGAAAAACACCTTGGGGGAGGAAGGACGCCTCTCAGAACGATTGTTGATTATGCAAACGGGTGGCTCTGGTAGTAAGATTGATTGGCCATGTTTCGCTCTCAGCCCAAGCCCGTTGGCAGCTTCCATTTCATCCTCTGTTGGCGGTGATTCTTCCACTCGGGTCATTATATCTTCTAATGGATCAGAGTCGATCTGCTCATTGTCAAGAATCGCATAATGGGCAACTGCACGAGAAGACGGAAGATGAGATATGGCTGCAGGCATTCCGGGAGCTGGCTCTGGCTCTTCCTTTGGCTTCTTCTCTCCTTGAAGGTTTGGGTGGCTGCGTTGGAAGAAATTCCATCTTCCTGATTTTTCCGATTTCTTCTTCTTAGTCTCGCCCTTGGTCTTGGATTCTGACGATGCAGATAGATTGGGGGTATCTTGATAAGATATCTCTGGGCGACTATCGGTACTAGCATCCGACGGACGTCTGGAAGTGGAGGTTCGAGGTTCAGCCACCGACAGATAGTGACTTGATGTTTTCTGGCTTCCAAATATGTTCGAATTGCGAAAGGAGCGCCGCCGTTTCACCTCCGGCTGTTGGCTCTGCGGATTTCCGGGATCCAAAAGAGAACGCTGAGGTGGAGAATTCATTGGCTCTGGGCTTTGAACAAGTGTCACTTGAGGAGTAGTCATAGAGCCGCCGATGACTGAAGCGACACTCATGCTACTCTCGCTCTGTCCGCTCTCGGTGCGAGCCAAAGCGGCCCCATCTATACCACCGCCGCTGATGACGACGGGTTCCAAGCGATCGGAAAGGAAGTCATCGATCTCATGTCCCATTTGACTGCTGGTAACGCTGTTGTTACCAAGTGACCTACTTGTACTCGTTGACCTCGCCCTTGAGGCACTGCTTCCGATACTCGTTCGTCTGCCTCGCTGGGAATATTTGCCATAGCCCTCATGTCCGGTTCCAGCAGAAGGGCACCTGCGGGAGCGTCCATCACTATGACCCGGCAGTGTCACTTCAGGAATGGTCTTTGACTTCTTTGGGAACAGTCCAAGCCGCTTTGGGGCGCTGGTAGCCTGCTGTTGCTGTTGTTTTGGCTCCTTCAGTTCCTTGGGTTCGGGTTTGGATTCTTTGGCAGAAACAGAGGATTTCCTAACAAGCTTTATGCCCTTGGGGGTTGCGGATCGTAGCTGTGGTCGACTGCTACCGTCGAGTTGGTTCGGCGATGGGGAAAGCGCAGGTATTCTAGACGAACTTCTAGACTGGAGTGATTCTGTCGAGGCATTCACGAAGGACGTAGGGATGGCGGGGGATTTGGAACGGGTATTAGAACTTGATGACCCTCGTCGTTTGTGGGTAGGGAGCCTAGACGAGGCGAGGTTACTCCAAATAACAGGTGATGATTCCAGCTTCAGTGGTTCAGCACCCTTTCGACTCGGCCTGCTTGGAGAGAGTCGAGGTGTGGATACTGAACTTGGAAGCAGGGATGGCTCTTCTATTCTTGGAGTAACCACATCTTCTTTCCTGTTAATCCCAGTAGACTCAACATCCCTTGGGTCAGGATAGTCAGTACCCACAGACTGCCACTCAACTTGACTAGCATGGTGCATGGGCGCATGCTGGACTTCGGGGACGTCATGGCGGCTAGTTTCTCTCACTCCAAGACCAGAAGTTGATGGCCGTGGAACAGGTTCGGTCTGGGATCGTCGAGGAAGTCGGGTGGAAGTCGAAGCTGTGCTTTTAGTTTCATCAAATGAAGGCGTGGCTGCCAAGCTTGGACGGAACCTTTGGGCTCTGAATATGGTCGGACTGGGTTGTTTTAGCCGTGAGCTATGAGTTGGATGTATTATTCCAGGAGAATAGGACGATAGTGATGTTGGGGTCGATCCTCTACTCCACATGCCAGGAGAATCAGTGTATCGGGTGGATGGACTGCTGCCACCGGTGAAGTTCGGTGTGGGAGGCGGTAGATTCAGCGTGTTTATAGACGTTGATAGACCAGCGAATTCCTTTGGGATGCGAGATTGTGATCCTGCTGTTGTAGGTCTGGGCTCCATCGCAGGCGGTTGCGAGGATGGGGTAGGGGTAGTGTACAGTGGTCGGGCCGGTACATGATCAACCGAGGGCCTAGCTGGTGCATTATGGTTATCATTTGATGCGAGCTTCTCTGGTGCTTCAATCTGGGGTATTTCCACTTCAGGTTTCTCCGGCATCGAAGCCTGGAGTCTTGCTCTGTTCCGCTCCGCATACTGCTCTATCGAAGGAGCCTTTCTCCGAAGAACATTCCGCGGCCGTACCTCGGGCTGTGTCGATCGCCCGAATTTCCAAGAAGAAGTAGTAGTCGACGATGACGACTGCTGTGGCGGCGGTGGATTTTGCGTAGGCGGTGGTACCTTGGGTGAAGGAGCGTGGCTAGGAGGTGCCGTATAGTAGCGAGCGGGCGGCATTAGAGAGTACGAAGGTTTCGACGATCCGACGGACAAGCTAGCTTCCTTTGACGGCTTCCTCGAGGATGAATTCGACCTCACCATCCTCAGTCTGCTATAGTCCTCCGACTCTGATGCAGATGAATCCCGTCTACTTCGGGGGATCGACGACGGCTTCGGTATGCTCTGTTTAGGCCGTCCCTGTGCATACGAGCTGCTGGAGGGCAGTATAGGAATCCGAGAGGCCATCATCTCCGCCGCCGGATTTCTCGTATGCGTCTGTGTTTGTGTATGAACAGCTCCTCGTGACGCCATGGTGCAATGGCCCTTGATATCGTGGGCGGCAGGCCTAGAGACCGGCTTTCCAAATCGATAGCCGCTGTAGAATAACTTATAATCATAGCGTATGCCACATTTAGTGACGGTTTAAGTTGTCTTCTGTCTCGAGTCAGTGATCATGTATTAGTCGCCACCATAACCGTACTTACGGTGTATATAACCATTCAAATGTATGGCTGATGATCAGATGGTATAGTCGACGATTAGATGGTATGGCCGATGCTCAAAAGTTCGGACGAGATGCCGGGGTAAGGTGGATTATATAAAATAGAGAGAACCACAAAAACTCTTCGGCCGTTGGAAAGTGAAAGTGAAGCGGGATAAGAATATTAATCATCGGTAGCTTTCGGGCACAACTATGCAACGAAAAAGCTAAAGACGATGGCACAGTCAGACCGTCGACAAGGTAGTCAGTACGGCCTGGTGATGTATAAGGCCGTCCTGCACCCACTCCGCCACACAGAGTCGGCGGGGCCGCTTAGCGCGCAGCAAGTCCAACAGTGAAGCTGTGGCTAACGGTCGCGGCGGTCACGACGGCCACGTAGGTAGGTAGACCTAGTACTCCGTAGTGCAGAGACTGGCTGTCTATAGTGCAGGGTCGTAGAAACGACATGGAGGACGCGGCGCATTTTATGGAAAGAAAAGTCCCGGCAAGGGGTGAGCAGGAGAGAGCAGGAGCTAGCCCGCGACTCGCTGACGATCGCACGTTTCTATTCCTGCCAGTAGACGGGCGATAGAGGGATGTAATTAGTTGGCGATGGAGGCGCTTGCAGGCGAGCAGGAGACAGGATTCGCATGGATATAGGCCTGGGTCACGGGAGGTGCATGCCATCTCCACCGCCAGGAGGCCACTCAGGACGACGCATCGCGGTCTTGACGAGGCACTACTCCGTACGCAGGTAATGCAGTTGCCGGATCGGTCGTAAACCTGTGCCAACCGTTGCTGGTACGGGCATTTCACGACTCGACTTACACTGTGATACGAGGTGAGGCCAGGTCCGGTCAAGTCGAGATAGAGGTCGAGGTAGGTCAGGTCAGGTTGAAGTCGAGGTAGAGATCTGATCCGTTCCATGGTCCTGTCCGTGATGCCCGTTCCGTGCTGTCATAGTTAAGGGTAGCGCCGAGGCTTGAGACGAAACTCTCCCTGGCCGTGTATCTTTGATCCATCTTTGGTGATATGCTGCATGAACTAACTCGTCACGTCGATGTCACTGGCCTGGACGAGATGGAGAGCCGGACCTCTGGACGTCGAATACCGCAAGGCCCTGGATGTCTACCCCGGCGTCTGTGCGAGTATATGGAGCTGGAAGTAGACGAGACCGAGATACTCCGTACGGCGCGGCTCACTGGACAGAGGCACATCCAGTCACATCGAAAAAGCGCCGATACGCAGCTTGATTCGCCCACTGACAGCTCTCAACCCTGTCGTGGGACAAGTTATGCCTCCTGCTGGGTTCCCACATGGTGCATCTTTCGCTCTCTCCCTGACGGCTCGACTTTGCCACTGGTAGCTGGACTGGACCTTTCGTATACGGAGTAGAAGTCAAGGGCGATCACAGATGGACAGGAGCAACAGTCCAGGCGGCTGGTCGACTGGTTAGTGTCACTATTACGTGCGTCTTGCTCGTACTAGTGATGCACGAGATAGGGCTGCTTTGTGGCTGAGGTTTGAAGTGCAAGGAGGCGAATATCCCAAGTGCTCTGCATATTCCTAGGCATAAACGGGCGTGTTTACTGGTGCTTCCGCCGGCCAGGTCCCTGGATCTCATGCAATCCTCAGCTCTGCTCTGCCGGACGGCCCTGCGCCAATGGACTCTTATCTCCTGGATAGGATGCTGGATGCCAGGTCTATAGCCAACGTAGCCTCGCGTGACAGGAAAAAGAAAGCATTCGACTCGCATTCGACGGCCTTCTAGCTCCTACCGAGGCTGCATATCTACACTAGGCTGTCGATGATGGCCTCAGGTGTTATGGTGAAGACTGAAATTCAAGTTTGTCCGACGTTACAGCTTCCACAGCTCAAATTGAGATCGAAGAGATGGATTGATGAATATTTGGTACATATTAATGCCGAGGCAAGGCGAGAGAATAGATTGAAAGGAAATGTGAAAGATCAGACTATGTTCCGGATAACTCCTAAGCCAGGTATAACAACATTTTGTGAACTCGAGGTAGGAAAGATAGCCCAGGGACGCATTGACGATTGATAACTCATAGCGCACGGGCTGGAAAGGAATGACGGTGGTAAGTGAATAGGTCGCGCCTCGCTATTTGGCGGCAAAGCGTTCTTTTCTCTTCTCCATCGCGGCACGGTCCGCGTCGCTCATCTTGCTGCCGCCACTGTTGTTGTTGTTGCTGTTGCCGGCGTTCCTGTTTCCGCCTCTGCGTGGCCCTCTGCCTCTGCCTCGACCAGGGAAGTTTCTACGCTTGCCTCGTCCACTCTCTCCTTCATCAGCACGTCCTCGCTTCCTTGGTCGCTCCGTAGACAAAGGTTCATCCAACCCTTTCACTTTGGCAGCCGCATCGGTGCCCTCTGTTCCGAACCTCTTGGCTCTCTCAAGTGCCTTCTGCGACTCGGTCACCGCGGGTTCATCGGCAATCCCAAACTTCGCGGCACGGGCTTTACGTTTCGCAAGTTCGGCGTCGAGATCCGTAGTTGCAAGGCCTCTAGTATAATCCACAGCAGGCTTCTTCGCAGCCTTCTCCTCGGTAGCAGCTTTGTCGTCGGCGCCGTTTGTCGCTTGTTTCCCAGCAGCCTCCCCTCCCGCAGCACCCGTCTCAGCAGTCGCAGTCGCAGCCGCAGGCGCCGTCTTCTCATCTGATTTCACGACATTCGCATCCTGCGCAGCAGTCGGTTCAGCAACGACTTTCTGTTCAGGCACAGCGACGGCCGGGTTCGCGGGAGCCTCCTTGGTAGCCGCAGGAGCAGCGTCAGCCGCATCATCATCCCAATCGATAACGTCTTCGGCCGCGGCTGCAGGCTGAGCAGGTGCAGCAGCGGATTTATCAGCCTCCTGGAGTCGCGCGACCATATCTGCCTTCTTCCCCGTATGGCTGAGACCACGCGATTTGAGGATCTCGACCAACTCCGCGTTGGTTTTCTTGCTGTATTCGACTGCCATGACGAAGTGTGTAGAGGAATATTCAAAAGAAATCAACTAAAGTGTAAACGGAGCTTGTCGAGCTGGTAGAAAAAGCAACTAGGTGTCTCGGTGTCTCGTAGGGGAGTTGTGAATGGTGATGGTTGACGTTAGGATGAGACGGCGAAGGAGGCTGGCGTTGAGTGTGGGCGGAGGGAGGCTAGGAGGAAAAACACATGAGCATGGTCTTTGATGAATACAAAGAAGGCGATGGCTATTGATTCAATTCGCTCTTGATCGCTATTGTTTTTGTCCTCCGGGTGAAGCTGGCGATGTCCAAAAGTCGCGTTGAGCTTTCATCTTACCTAATCGGGACATCGCGCTAAGCGTTTCTTGGTTTCAGACTAACCGGAAAGGGATGGATGTCATGTGACGCTTATTCAGCTGCTTATGTCATTTTGAAGATCTCAGAGCAAAGATACATCCAAGAATACATCAAGAATACATCCAGGAATACACCTCAAGGATAGGTACTTAGCTCGGTCAGCCTTATGAGAAATAGAATTGGGCCTCGCACTACCGCCAGCTCGTTGGGACTCATCCTGGCTTATATCTGGATACGTGTTTCCAGTGCCTCGTTGATGTGTTGTTCAACGGCACACGCCGCTCGCTGCGCCACATATCTAACTGTGGCGGCCGAAATCGGGTCGTCGCGCTTCGTCCGTCCATCTGCACAATGACATCAACGGACTCAGGCCGAGGATAAGTGAGAGCAAAGTGAGTTGAACGTTCAAAGTATTTGGAAGCAGCTCAAAAAAAAATCAAAAAATATCCTGCCAACCTTCTTTTTGTTTTGTGCCATATTTCAAACTTAGAAACAGCGGCTATTGGGTGAAAATATGCTATGCTAGAAAGTGTAAAAAAAAAAAAACTGTCCGTGACTTGAGTCCCAAGTATACTCAGGCTGCTAGACAAATAGGAGGCGCCCAACATAGTGATACATGAATTAGGGAAGCTTCGTGAAGCAGAGAGCTGCTGAAAAAGGTGGCAAAAGAGCGGTGTTGCCATTCTAGGTGAGCCTTATTTCTGAATCTTGGTCTTCTTCTTTGGTCGCTCGACTTCTTCCTTGTCGGCATCTTCCATCTCAGCGTCACTATCTCCGCCACTGCTGGCGTGATCTGAGTCGAATTCCTCGGCCACGTCAGAGTCAGAGTCGCCTACGAAGTCTTCATCTGGTGATTCTGAGTCTTCCGCCGCGGAGCCACGGTCTTCTTGAACCTCGGCATCATCGTCGCTGGAGTCCATCATTTGGTCGTTCTCAAGAGCAGTTGCGATGAGGGTAGAAGCCTGGGGGTAGGCTGTGTTAGTATATGATGCACGCTACGAATATGGATAGAAATCCTACCTCTTCAACCATCTCGTTCTTGAATCGAAGGTTTTTGGCCTTGAAGAAGTCTTCTAGGGGTTGTTGCTCCTCACTATGGGAATGTTAGTATTTGTTTCCGTCTCAAAATTTACAACAATGTAACGGCAGTAAGAATCCATACCGGTTGATATTGCTGAATTGGTGTTCTCCCTGTCCTCCCTTCAGGGTCATCGTGATATCAAAGGTGCGGCTGGCGGAAACGGTACCGCCGACTCGAGACATCGTGATGACGGATATGTTCTCTATTTGAATGTAGGTGGCTGGCTTTGGTACGAACATGAAGCTCTTGTCCAGGCAGAATAAGAGACCTTCGTTCGCCTTGGTAGAACATTTCACGCCGCTATGGCCGTGGTGACTATAGATGTATTAGTATGTACCTAATCTCAGAATAGGAAAGATATATGTTCTACCTGGCGAAGTCTCTGGAGGGCATGATGACCTTCTTCCCCGAAAGTCCTCGGAAGACCTTTGTGACGACTTGGTGGATGGGCTCCTCATAGTGAGCTTCGAGCTTGTCCTTGTATCGAGATTGTAGTAGTTCACTGGCTCGCGTTAGTCGTAGCTCATGGTAACAAGGAAGAAGGAGCAAGCTTACTCGGTCATATTTAAATCAATGCTGATTTCATCATCTAGCTTCAGCTGCATCACCAGAAACGGGTATCGTGTCTGACCCTGTCGAAGCGGCGGGTCCAAGCCGAGAGTAATAAGGGTGTGAGTGTCGTCATTCTTGGGAAGCAAGAAGAACTTCTTAATGGATTGATATTGGATCTTATAGTCGTATGTTTTACCACGAAGTCGGAATGAGTTTTCGTACATGTCCATGTCGAATCGACCTCTGCAGAGAAATAGGTCAGTACCAGCAAACGGACGGTGAAGCCATATACCACGAACCTGGGAGTAAGATGCAACACGTCAAGGAACGTAGCAAATGTGTCACCGGCAACATCACCAATCTCAGCCTTATCCATAAGCGTCTCATAAAATAAGTTGGCAGCATTCTGCTCCTCGACCTCTTCTTCTCCATCTGCACTCTTATTCTCGTCACCTTCAGCTGGTTCATCGCCTTCTTCCTTCTTCGCCACTGTGCCCGGAATATAGAACCTCATCTCTACAAGCTCGTCTCTACCGACTCCGGCCTTGCGACCTCTGTTCTTCGTGCTGCCCGCAGGCTGCTCCTTGACGCCATTCGCAACAACATCCGTAGGCAAGAAAAATTCCACTGCGACTTCGTTCCTGCCAGCCAAATTTGTGTTTGAGATTTCCGAGTACGGGACTTCGAACGCAGGACGGTTCTGAACATTGAAGCTGAGCTCAGATTTTCCGAATTCGGCCTTTCCCCAGTTCCAGCCGCGGAGGGCGTGTTCTCTGTTCGTAAGGTTGACGCCATACCAGATCTTGAACGCTTTACCAGCTCGGTCGAAGTCCTGTTTTGTTTTATATAATGTTAGCTCGCGCATACCAAGGGCGCGTAGACGACGGCCATACCTCTTGCTCGAAGCCGTCAAGCTGGATGACCCCGCATGTGCGTGAGAATATCTTCAGCTCGTAGCCCTTTGCAGCTCGACTCCATTCGGCAGCACCGATATTGCTCTTGTCCAGGGTGAAAGTGTCGCCGCCGCCAGACGGCTTCCAGCCCATGCCACTCTCCGCGAGCTTGCATTTCCCAGGCTGCTTCGACAGGTCGAGGTATATGTTTTCAAAGCTCTCCCTAGTCCCCGTGTCAGTTCAGCTTGTGAAGGTAGCAATTTCCATGGCAGGAGACTCACATCTTGGAAGAACTGGGGATTGTAGTTACTAGAGAGAAGTTACGAGCTAGACACAGGACTCAATGTCGCAGCCTTGACGGGCTCAGGGTCGTTGCAGGCGATGTGCTCCTTTCTCAAGGTCGCTTTTTCCTCGTCGCGCTTCTTTCTATCGCGTCCAAAAGCTCTTTATCAGAGTTGGCCACTAAGCCTAAACGGGCCTTCACCTTAACCTTCGATATTTCCTCGATACAACGGCGGTTTGATGTTTCTTTTAAGATATAACCTCCGTCTAGCTCTGTTATAGCTAAGCGTAGGCATCTCTAGTCTTGAAGTAGCAGTAGTATACGCCATCTATACTCTCCCATAGGGCAAAGGGACATGAAACAGTCTATAAGTGTTCTCCTGTGACGGGGATCCCAGACCCTGTTCACACAATCAGGGCTATCACATCTATAGACAACAATAAGACATCTATCTATATCTACATCTATCTCATCTTCTCTTTATCTATATCTATCTATATCTTCATCCATCTCTCTTTATATCTATATCTCTCTCTTCGCATGAACGTTTATCCGGAAAAATGAGTTTCGGGCTTGGCCGCCTTTCCCCTTTCTGTACACTGACTTCGCCCTCTTGAACATCCTCAACTTCTGGTTCACTTCTACTTCTTCTACTTCGGCCTCACTGCTGTCGCTCACTCTTTTGCCCACCGAGAGTCCCTGGAGCAGGCTGCTCACAGATAGCCGACCAGCCCTCTCCCACACTCCTTTTTCACTCGTTTGTTTCTTCGCCTTGACGCTTTTCTTTCCTTTTGTGCCCTGTAGATCGCGTCATGTCCTATCTGTTTACGCCCTGACCTCTCATCAACACTATTTTCTCACACACAGCGAGAAGATACTCTGCTTGTTCACAGATCATCAAAGACGACATAGACAGGCCATGGGGCCTCGCTCGCGGTCTGGACAGAGGGTGGTGCCCAGTGACTGCCTGACGTCCATCTTCAGCCTCTTCCTGGCGCTGCCTCTCGCCCAAGCAGCACTCTTCTCTCCCACTCCCTCGCCAAACCTCGATCTCGGTCCGCTAGGCCGCATAGCTCTCGTGGGCAACTTCGATGCTGCTTCTCTCTACTCCTACAAACCAGCCAATGATGAAGGTCACGCCGGATTCAATGGCTCGCTCGCCCAGTCCCTCATCGCACCCCTTCCAGACGGCTCTCTCTTCCCCATTTCTTCCGCCGACGCCGATATCCTGGCCATGTGTCCGCTGCTAGGCAAGGATGGCTCCGTTACCAGTGTCGTTGTAGGTGGTAATTTCACCAGCCTTGGAGGAGTCGAGTCAAACGGTATCGCAATTCTCGACTATAACAACATACATATATCTGCCGTCCCTGGCATCTCTGGATCAGTCAATGCGCTTTACTGTGACAGCGGATCAAACACCGTGTATGTCGGAGGAGAGTTCAGGAAGGGAGGAGACTCTGCCAATGCGGTAACATGGTCGCCCAAGTCCGGCCTATCGAACCTCCCATTCAGCGGATTCAACGGGCCCGTCTCGTCGATTGTCCCCTCAAAGGACGGCCGAATCGTATTTGGTGGCTCGTTTGATGGCCTGGGAAACACGACAAGCCCTGACCGGAAGGATCAACAGATAGTCAACCTCTACACTGCAGAAATCACATCCGGCTCAGGTTCGACTGCTGGCGGCTTCGACAACCCCCGAAACGTCATCTGTCCCGCTGAAGGCCAATCTGGAGCAGGGAAGACGTGGTTGCTCACCGACAACGCACCGGGTTACTGGCGTGCAAAGATGAACTTTGGATTCAGACCTACGAAACTCCGAATTCGAAACGCTTTAATGGACGGACGAGGAACAAAAACATTTAGATTCACCGCATTGCCAGATGGCGGAATTCTGAACATGACTTATATCGATCCGGAAAGCGGCAAGAAGATTCCATGTGATGCAAAATGTCCTCTCTCAAACGATCCAGCAATGGCCACTCGAGACTTTCATTTCGTCAATAATGTCGGCATGAGTTCGTTCCAATTGGACATTTCAGAATGGTACGGACAAGGCGCTGGACTCACTGGTGTTGAGTTGTTCCAAGATGGTATGTACTGCTAGTTTTTTCTTTCTCTGCTTTTTTAATTAACTATCTATAGATATTTATGCATATGCTGTCGACGAACTCAACGAGCCTACTTGCGCCAGCATTCCCTATGCATCCAAGGCTACCCGGACCGGAAACTGGAATGTTCAACCCTCACAGCAAAGCTCGTCAGACTATCTATCCTCTAAAATCGACACAGCTAGCGATACGACCACGTCCGTCACGATACAGCCAGACATTAAGCAATCCGGAAACTACTCGGTCACCATCTTCACTCCAGGCTGTGTTCAAGACGGCACCTGTGCCACCCGTGGAGTCGCTAATGTAACAGCAACTTTCAAGTCATCCAAAGACGAACCTATCCAGGCATCCATATATCAAACCAACAATTTCGACAAGTTTGACCAAATATACGTCGGCCCTGTCGACGCTAGTGGTGGCAAGTTTCGACCATCCGTCACAATCTCCGCCCACCGCGATCAGGGCGTGATCGATTTTGTTGCATCTCGAGTTCGGTTCCAGTTGATCTCATCTACAGGCGGTTTGAACGGGCTCTACGAATTCGATCCAAATGCAAAGACTGTCGATACCAACTTCACTCAGTCTGCAATCAACAGGGCCGGAATTGAGCTTGAGCCAGACGCCGTCGTGAACTCCCTGGTATGGGACAAGGATACTCTCTTCATCGCAGGTAACTTTACAAACTCGTCTACCAGCAACATCGTATCGCTCTTGGATGGAAAGGCCTCCCCCTTGGCGCAAGACGGACTGGACTTCGCTGTCAAGTCGATGCAACTATTAGACGGTCTACTCTACGTTGGTGGGAACTTTTCAAACACCGCCAAAGGTGAAAATAATAAACTGTCAGGCGTTGGAGCATACTCTATATCCGACAAGAGCTGGATCCCCCTCGGCGCAGGAGTTAACGGACCTGTGACTTCTCTCGTCCGGTTCCCTGTCAATATCACTTCAGAAAAAACCGAAACAACGATCGCTGTGAACGGATTATTTACCGAGATTAACGCCGTCGATGGCCGCCCTGCTATTATGGCCAACGGGTTTGCCGTCTGGGTTCCATCGAAGAAGAAGTGGCTCCAGGAACTTAACATCAACCGCATGGCATATGTTGGACAACTCACTACCTCCGTCGAAATAGACAAAGATACCCTTCTTGCTGGCAACCTCGCTTCTGGTGGAATTGCTTCACATGGCGCCGTCAACCTGGTCGACAACAATAGGCTTGGCCTTCGCGCGTTGCCCGTCAATATCGACCTTGGCCAACCGCAGGCACCAGCTCGAAACTCGAAACGTGCCGCCGCAACAGGCGAGGTTAATCGTGGCGTCCTCACCGGGCTATTTGACATGGAATCAGGCCGCAATCTCACCATGCTAGCTGGCCATTTCACCGCAAAGACATCCGATAACTCAACCGTCAATAACCTGGTTTTCCTAAATGGTGCAGAAAATGATGTTGTGACTGGCCCTGGTCCTGGGATTGATGAAAAATCAACTTTCATGACCCTCGCAGTCTACAAAAACCTCCTCTTGGCTGGTGGAAAAGTAACTGGGCGAGTTGAGAATTCCAACGTGAACGGGCTGGTCGTATACGACCTCGGAAATAACCACAAGTACTCATCAAGTCAGCCTTCCGCGCTAGATGGTGACAATGTAGAGGTCCGCACTATCGCTCCTCGACCAGGTACCAGCGACATTTACGTTGGTGGAATGTTCCAATCCGCCGGCTCCTTGCCATGTCCATCAGTCTGCACCCTCCGAATTGACAGCAACCAGTGGAGTCGTCCCGGTACATCTCTACGCGGTGACGTCTCTGTTCTCCAATGGGCAACTAACGACAAGCTACTTGTCGCTGGAAATCTTACCGTTGAGCGTAACGAAACGATGCTCGCCGGCTACGATGCAAAGGAACAGAAATGGTCAACCATTACCGGCAAAAACTCCGAAAGCGTCAGTGGAGAAGTCAGGGCGCTTGGTCTTGCAAGAAGCGATGGCTCACGGTTCTGGATCGCTGGTAAATCTAGCACTGGCACAACCTTCCTTGTTCTTTATGACGGCGCCGAGTTCAAACCTGTTGGCCATCTGTTCGGTGACAGTACCATAATCGAGGGTCTCCAGGTCCTTCCCTTGACAAAAACCCACGAGAAGTCAGATTTCCTTGACGACAACCAAGTTCTCCTAATCACTGGCAAGCTCCAACTGCCTAGTTTTGGATTTGTGTCAGGAGCCCTCTTCAACGGAACCACCCTTGAACCGTTCATTCTCTCTAGCATGTCCGATGGTAGACCAGGGAGCATATCAGGAATATTCTCGGAAAATAAAATCGACGTCGCTGGTCATCGTGAGTATTTCAATTTTTCATACACACCCCCTTATGCCATGGAACTACAATGCTAATTCACCTTGAATAACAGGCGGACAAAAACCCAGAGGCATTGTCGTCCTCATCTCCTTCTGCATCGCCCTAGGCTGTGTCTTCTTCCTCGTCCTCTTCGGTGTTCTCCTCAACCGTTACCGCCGCCATAAACAAGGCTACATCACTGCTCCACAGGGCACAGATCGGAAACCAGATCTCAGCCGAGTTCCTCCCGAATACCTCCTGGAGTCTCTCCGGCACCGAACACCCGGTACACGTATCTAATTAATCAAACAACAACTGAACGGCCATCACTTTCTTCATGTATCTTGCCCCCCTTGCGTTAATGTACCTTCTACTTCTCACCCTACCCTTGTTCCCTATCTCTTTAAATCCCTTTTTTCTTGCTTGCTTACGGTAAATTTAATTCGGCGTTGGGACTCTAGGAAAGTAAATACCCTCTTCCAAAACTAATGTTTGGCGTTTTAAGGCTACCCTCTCTCATTCTACTTTTCTTTCTCTTCTCTTCTTTCCTTCCCCTCTTCTTACCTGATCATATCCGCCCCCTACGTTAATTCGGCGCATATGGACCAATTCGAAGTTATCCAAGGCCTTACAGACGACTACATATCTGTCGAGTTTGGCTTTTTCTTTTGACAACACTCCCGTTTTAAGGATCTAGCCTTTGGGCTGCCGTCTAGTAACTGTGTACTCCTATGCGTTTACATTCCTTCTCCTTTTTTCTTTACACTGGCTTCAAATACCATACCTTTTAGATAGCATAGCCGCCACACTACACAAAAAAACCAATTGGAGAATAATCATGAACCCAACTTGTCTTTGTTAGTTACGTAGCTGATATATCGGCCTGTGAACTTGGATTAGAGTATATAATACTTAGGTTGAGATCTAAACTGCCTTCCTTGGCTCTCTCCAACCTCCGGCGCTAGCTAGTTGATAGTTTCCGTATCCCACATTATTCAGTCATAGCTGGTTAACCGTTATCTTCCACTAAACACTCACAATTGGTGACTTATATTCTATTCTCGAATGAACATGGGCCTTTCTTTAGACTCGCGCCCGACTCTTAACCCTGGCTACGAAAGGAAGGCAACTCGAGCGCGAACCTGGGGGTCATAACGCTGCGGTAAATCCGCGGTAAGAGCTTTCGCGACGGGATGCGCTCACGAACTGGTTGGTGGGTTAATAACTATTGCCTAATTCCTAAAAGAAAGACAAAAGACATCTATCTGCCCCTCACTTTACTGTTATTTCCATTGCTAACTTGAATTGTGTCTTGATAGTCTTACATGCCGAACACGCAAGTTGAAATGCGACGAACAGAAACCACAATGCTCTCAATGCCGAAAAGCCGGTAGAGAATGCCGACAAAGCGAAGCTGTCGTCTTTCGACATCAGCAGAATGCCTCGATGAATCAGGAGGAAGAAGAAGCCGGACCTAGTGGCCGTGGAAACCTGAAGGGCTTCTACTCCTACAAAAATACATTTGGCGCAGATAGCGTCTGGCTGGAAATTCCGAAGCGAGGTATTTTGGCATTGAGACATGGCTGATAGAGCTTTGGGGATGGCTGGCTAATTCGAAATTCACCTTTTGCTCAGTGGTATTCGTCGATAATTCGGACCCGTACGCCGACGATCTAGTGGCGCAGTTTGGTGCGGACACCCCCCTAGGTACACATGAAGAATGTACATGGGGTCATGATGGAGGATACCAGGCGTCTTCCATGGATGCGCAAACGCATGGTCTGGACGCACTCTCTGCTGCCGCAACAGCGGAGAACTATCCTCTCCAGCAACACCAGCCCAGCATTGACGATGTCGCCGAGCACAACAACAGATTCGACCATATAGAGCACCATCAACCTCCAGGCTCATCGCATTCTACCCCGAACAGAGCGCAGTCTCCTGCGGCGGCTTCTCCGAGGTCTCCATCTCTATCAATTTCCTCACCAAATAACAACATTAATTTCCTTCTAAACCCGTCATCAAATGCTATATTGACACCAGTAGATCCGAATCTTCACTCTCCCGCTGATAGAAGGGTGTTCCCTGGTACGTCTCCTTCGTTGGTATCTCAAGGGTTAGACCAGGAGGCAAGAATTGCGTCCAGAGCTGGAACTGAGCATGAAGTTGCGTTTTTACTCCGACATTTTTCAGAAGGACCTGGCCAGTGGTGAGAGCCCTCAATAACTCAGTAAAGGAGATATAAAGCCAAAGCTAACTATCTATTTCTCCTATGATGAATGTAGGATGGACCTGTTTGATCTAGATCAATACTTTGGTTCTCAAGTCCCAGTGGAAGCCCTTACTAATTCATTGTTAAGATATGCTGCATGTGCATATGCCGCAAAGCAACTCGGCCGCGTCAATGGAAATAAGGCCGTAGTCGGGGGAGTCTGCCAGAAGCAAGCAAGAATGGAGCTCTGGCCCGATGCCAATAGAGTCGATTGGTATTACTATGGGGCAAAATACTACGAAAGGGCAATTCAATTATTGATGGAGGAATTGCAGCATGATGGGCAGTCCCCGTCGTTGTCTACGTTGGAAGCTAATGTCCAATCGCAGGCAGGTGAACTTGATAATGCGCTCGAACATACCAGCAAGGGACGAAAGCAATCAAGTGCAAGCGGTCAACTTGCTGGCGCACAGTCCGATGAGGTTCTTGCCGCCACTGCCATTCTCTCGGTATATGAGTTTCTAGATGCAACTGGTCCAGCATGGGATCGGCACTTAAGCGGTGTGAAATCGCTGCTGGACATCGCAAATGTTGGGATGATATCGCTTGATATCCAGGATCCGTCTGGAAATTTGGCTGCTTTAGCTCCAAAGCGAGCTGGATTATCAAAGGCAAGAAAAGCAATTTTTTGGAATTTCGCACGTCAAGATTACCTTTCGGCTTGTAAGATGGCTCTTTTTTTTGAATAGTCACTGGTCGGCCATATGCTAATGAGGTTTTAGTTATCAATGAGGGCCAAACCAGGTTAAACACAAGCGATCTAGCGCTATGGACAGAGGCAGGTATCCTTCTAGATGATGCAGGCTATGTCCAACCAAGCGGTAACATTGAGCCCAGACATCGCGACGGCAAGGATACTATGAGGGTAGACATGGTATCAAATGCCTTGATATGGATTCTTTCCAAAATTGTGGATTCCTTAGCGGCGGGGGATGATATGAATTCCGGCGAATCCCAACACCCTCTTCTCGATAGATGGCACCAGCTTCAGGCTGAGCTTGATGCATGGTATAAGGGTCTACCTAACACTTTCAACCCTAGTGCAAGGATGGAGTCGTCACAAACAGCATCGATTCAGGGTACACCAGCCTCAGAAGACGACCACCCGTTCCCTGAAGTTTGGTATAGCATTCCGATGTGCGCATCGACGATGCAACACTACCACATGGCCCGTATCTTGCTACTTACCAATAAACCGCATGAATTGACCGCAAGCAGAAGCATGGTTACAAACGAACCAAACTCTCATCGGCCAATTGAAAGCGAAATTCAACACCACAGCTATGAAATCTGTGGGATATCCATGGCTCGGCCTAGGGCGACTGTTCGCGTTCATTCTGTGCAGCCATTGTTTATATGCGGACGATGTCTAACTGCATCTCACGAACGGAAAGTCATCCTACAGCTTCTTTGTGGGATCGAGGCCGATCTAGGATGGGCGACCAAATATCGCGTTCAGCAGCTCTTGAGGGAATGGGAATGGGATGAGGCCGCCATTGACGATCTTTCAGGACCCTAGAAGTTGCTTGGGAGAATAAGCTTTCCACGAGGAAGAGGAAACACTAACGGATATACACGGCCTATCTCAGACCTGTGCATACGAATCTGCCACCCCATACATCACTGATTGCTCCAATGGCTGGGCTGCATCTCGTTTTGAATGCTTTGGCTGCACAATATCCGGAGCACCGCAATGGCATATTCACAGGGTCCCACATACAGCATGGTGGCCATGAGCCTCCGCGGAGCCAGGGACGATAACAGAGCTGATCACAGCTTCTTTAGCTGGTATCTTCTCCCGTTGTGTCTTTGCAGGTTTGATAAAGGAATATCGACTCTATTTCACACATGAGGTGGCCATCTAACCTTCAACTTAAAAGTGGTGAAGTCCGGGTTACCATCACAGCATTTCCGTGAGGCTGTCGAGGTCTGTATTCCACTCTATAATATTCGGCTCATTGGCCTTCAAGCCACGGTCATTCGTTGGGATGGATAGATGGTTATCGTTGCATTATTTGACTCTCGGCCAGTGATGTTCAATGTATGTTGCTATTGGCTGATCTGCCCGCATTCTACCCCGTCGAAGTCGCCATAGCTGCCAGTCTAGATTACCAGGCTAGACGGCCAGTCTGCACCACATACACACCCCCTTTACTCGCCGGTATACGCAAACGTTTTCTCCATGCTCGAGTTTAAACTTCCGGCTCGTCCCAAACAAGCTCGGAGGCACGTGCGGGGGAAGCAGATGCGGAAAGTCTGCCGAGCGTGGGGAAAGCTCCAAGGGGAGAAAGTAAGCCGAGTGGCCGGCACACCTTCCGCTCCTGGGCCCAGACACTCTTGCTGCCGAAATGCGCACTTGATCGCGTGGTGCAACTTGCTGCAGAAGGACACAGGGTGCATATCCCGGCCCCCTTGTCAGATATTTTCTTGTGGCGGCGCCTGGAGCGGCTGCATGGTTATTATGGTGGTATTTAATGTACCTGTGCGCCCTCTCGCTTTGTCTCTCTCGTCGTGGAACGAATGTCATCATCGCTCATCCAAAGAGCTGCTATTAAACACCTGAATCGAGGTGTATAAGATCCTCTTTTTTTTAATATAAACAGGTCAACTTTGTTCGGTAAAGTGTGAGAATGTCTCTTGACACCGATGTCCTCATTATTGGGGCTGGAATGTCCGGCCTCGGGTTCGCAATCCAGCTACAAACGGACTTCCCCCAAGCTAGCTACGAAATAATTGAGAAATCAGACGGGTTTGGGGGGACTTGGTGGGCTAATACCTACCCTGGCTGTGGATGTGATGTCAGTCCTCTTAATAGCTAAGTGGTGCTTCTCGTAATTTAATCAGAGAATACCATGTTTATTCCGATTTCAATCTAAATCTCTATAGGTTCCATCCCATGTGTATTCCTACTCATTCGATCTCAAGCCGGACTGGAGCATGAAGTATGCCCTCCAACCAGAGATATTAGCTTATTTCCGCTCTGTTGTTGAAAAATACAATATCACGCAACATATCAGGTATAACTCCATGGTCCAGACTGCGGTATTTGACGAAAAATCTGGGACCTGGCAGGTGGTAGTCTTAGACCGGAAAACGAATCTGCTAAGGCATCGACGATGCAAAATATTGATATCTGCGGTTGGCGCCTTGTCGATTCCGAAAGAGTGTGACATTAAAGGATCAGATAAGTTCCGTGGGAAGCTTTTCCACTCTGCACAATGGGATCATCAATTCAATTGGGCGGATAAGGATGTTATTGTCGTTGGTATGCAACCAGCTGACCCCATGCCATCATCAGTGACTAGCTAATGAAAACGGTGCTTTTCGGGTATAGGGAATGGGTGCAGTGCAACTCAGTTCGTTCCCATAATGACCGGCGGCGGGAACAAGGTCCGAAAGCTCACTCAGTTTATCCGTCAACCGCACTGGGTGATTGAACGCCCGAATCCTCAATATTCCCCTCTCTTCAAATGGATAATGCGTTATGTACCGCTTGCAATGAGATCATATCGAGCATGGCATTTCAGTTGGCTGGAATATTCCTTTCGGGAGTTCTATCTCGAGTCCGGGCGTAAGCTCCGGGAAGACCAGACCGTCACACATCTGGACTATATGAGACGGACAGCACCAGCCAAGTATCACGATGTATTAACGCCAAAGATCGAGTTCGGTTGCAAGCGTAAGGTTATGGATACCGATTATTTCGCTTGCCTGCACCGGGAAAATATGGAGCTGGTTGCCACGGATCCGATTGAAGAGATAACGGAAACTGGGGTAATAACTAAATCAGGGAAAGCGGTCGATGCCGATGCCATCGTCCTTGCAAACGGGTTCCAAACGCAACAAGTCCTTTACCCTTTAGATATTAAAGGCGAGAAAGGTATCTCTTTAACAGAACATGTAAGTCGACACAGTTGTCATTGTTTCAATATACTCCATGAACCGTCCTGCTTACCCAAAGGAATGTAGTGGGAAAATTTCGCCGGGAACACTCCCCAGGCTTATTTTGGTACATGTGTGTCGGGGTTTCCAAACTTCTTCATCATGATGGGCCCAAATACCGCAACAGGTCATCTCTCGGTGATATACACTTCGGAATGCCAAATAAATTTCACAATCCGCGCCATTCGGCCGGTCATGCAATCTCTCTACCCATCTCCACTCCTAGATCTCAATCCGTTTGGACGGAAACCATGTGATACCGTTGCAGTCACCCCGGCAGCAGAACGAGAGGATAACTCATGGGTTCAATCGGCCCTCAAGGGGTTTGTGTGGGCGTCCGGCTGCAGCAACTGGTACGTCGATGAGAAGACAGGGAAAAACACAATGTTATATCCCGATTGGCAGTTGAAATACTGGCTTCGCAGTATCTTTGTTCCTTTCTCGTCGGATTTCGAGTTTAAATCCAGCGAGGTACAGGTTGTCGGTACAAACCATGGACGAGGCGATAAATCGTACCAAAAATCCGTTCTGGTAGGATCAGGTTTGGGCCTGGCGCTAGTCGCTACATTCGCAGCTGGTTTGAAGTATGACTTGAAAGTCAGGGATCTGGGATTCAAAGAAAGCCACCATCTAGGTTATGTTGTGAAGGACCTGGTCAGACAGCTTATCTCGTCCAAGTAATAATGTACATATTCGTTCATTTATGTGGCTGGGTGGAAGATTTTTATTTTCGGGATCTTGATGCTCTTGTCCTTCGTTTCTTCGGCACGGACTCAAGGGGGTTAGGGTCGCCTCCAGTGCCGGTATCTGCTCCCGCCGACAACTCCCTTTTGACAGAGATTCGGGTAGTCACTCTAATTCCTCCCTTCTCTTCTTCTTCTTCTTCTTCTTCTTCTTCTCCTACTTCTTCCTTCTTCACAATGTTCACCTCCACTCTAGCTTCCACTTTCGGTGCTTCTGAAGCCTGGTCTTTAATTTCTGCTTTGGGATTTAATCGGTCAGAAAATGACTTGAGATTCGCTGTAAACAGGACACTCTGTGCCCAGCCGGCTTCCTTCCCCCACAGGTCCCTAAAATAATCACCAACAGCATCATACGTTGCCTTGTTTAAGGTCTTTTGTTTCCCTTTTCCAAATTTATAGTCACGTTGAGCAATTTGCCAGACTAGCCCCCACCCAGTAAATGTAATAAGTATTCCATGTCCATAACGCGGGCTTAAGGTTATGACTTACCGTGGGTATCAACAGGGACAGATTCACCCCAACCAAGGCCCATCAAGCAAACGCAATCCGCGACTTTTGGTCCAACGCCTTGCAAGGCAAGCAACTGTTCATGGGCGTGTCTATACCCTGGTTTTTCGCTTTCGGCCGCAACTACGGCGCTAGTAGGTTTCTGATCAAAAGCTGGCTTTTCCGGGTTCCGTAAGCTATTCAACCATCCGGCCTCCCGATCGTTTGCAACTATCAATGCAGTTTGGTAGATATACTTGGCTCTATAGCCAAACCCAAGTTCCCGAAGACGCGATTCGACACCGGCACCAGTTAGGGCTAAAGGAGCTGGGAAATCGTAATATTTCTGGTCACCTATTTGACCAATAAAGGGGCCATAGTTGACACATAATTTTTCCACCTACTCCGGCGTAGAAGGTTAAAATGCGAGCTTCAAGTTAGGTGAATAAAGGCGTACTGACCATCTGGGATATGCGTGATATATTGTTGTTACTGCTGCAAATAAAAGAAACGAGCGTCTCCCATGCATCCTGCCGCATGATTCGAATCCCAGCGAACTGTACAGCTTTCTTTTTGAAATTCGGGTCTGAGGCCGCCCATTGCTCATACAGATCAGACAAGTTATAGTCAAGATTGAAATAATGGCGGATCAACTCCTCGGTGTCGTCGTCGTCGGGTGTAGCACGCTCAGTTGCTGGAGTAGAGATTGGGGGCGTAGGGAGTGTGGTTGGTTCGACAGTTGACGGCTTATATGATCTGTACCAGAGCGAATCCGAGTCTTGTCGCAGAGAAAGAATGCGTCCGTAGAGCGAACAGGTCCATTCATCCTCTAGCTTTCGCCAGCTACGTCCATTGGTTAGCAAGCCCAGCTACCCAAGGTCGTCCCAGGGCTCTTCTTACCGAAAGCTCTGTCCGCACCGAAGAGTGGTGTTGATGCACAGCTCCGTCAGGGCCAGTGGCAGCTTGCGCCACTCTGAGAATCTACCAATGGACATGTTGGCGCAAGTTGTGCTTCGTATATCCAGCGTCTTTCGTTCTTGCGACGTTGAGTTTCCTGAGATAGCAATAAGATTATTACCTAAGCAGACGTGCCAAGACCAGATGGTTTTGTTAGTCCCAAAGCGGCCTAAGCTGGAAAGAGCCATGCCTCCAGAACTTCTGGCTTTTGACAGGCTTCTTCACGGAACAAAACTCCCACGCTCGCGGCCAACGGAGTATCAGCTCAAGCTGCGTTATCGCCTCGTCCCTGCACCTCCGTCTGGACAGGATCTCATAGCGCGCACGTCCTTGAGCTCGACAGTGTCCGGACCCGAACGAATCCCCAATTCCTACTCGGCTCTCCCGAATTGATCATATCAGCTATCAAAGATGAACGGCGAAGGTTATAGCGGAAGAGGTAAGCTCGTTTTTATGGTAACAACTGGGCTTTCCTTGCGTGTATGTTGATAGCTAACGTTTTACCACCAGAGAGCGGTCGCTCGAGAGATTATTATGTGAGTTATGGCAATTTAATTGCCAAGCAAAACAATATCCATTTTCTGATAGTGGCCGGTTTTTAGGGAAGCCGATCGGGCAGAGACGACCGTCGAGATCGTGGTGATAGACGAGAGAGAGGCGAGAGGGGTGATAGGGAGCGAAGGAGATCAAGATCACCTCACCATGGCTCGAGATCGTCGCGTCGAGACCCTGAAATGGATTCCTATTCCTCCAGCCGTGACTATCGCGCTAGAGAGCGAGAAGATAGATATCAAAGCCGACGGGATGATAGAGGTGATTGGGATAGGGATAGAGGAAGTGATAGGAGGCGTGAGAGGCGTGGTGACGACGAGGAAAGGCCTCGACGCGACAGAGACCTCTTTGAAGATAAATCTCGCGGCGGTGGTCGCGGAAGGGAGAGGAAACGGAGCGCAACACCGCCTCCCAAGAAGAGGGAGCCCACGCCCGATTTAACTGATATCGTCCCAATCTTGGAACGGAAACGCCGCTTGACTCAGTGGGATATCAAACCCCCAGGCTACGAAAATGTCACGTCTGAGCAAGCAAAGCTTTCAGGGATGTTCCCGCTACCGGGTGCGCCACGTCAACAGGCTGTTGACCCAAGTCGCCTGCAAGCCTTTATGAATCCACCTACCGCTTCGGGGTCAAGCAACAACACGCTTCTCAAGCCTTCCAATTCGCGACAGGCGAAGCGTCTATTCGCCCACAACCTTCCACCATCCGTAACCGAAGACACCCTCCAACAATTTTTCAACCTGCAACTGAACGGTTTAAATGTCATCAGTGGTGTGGACCCGTGTCAGTCAGTACAGATCGCCAAGGATGGGAAATTTGCGCTTCTGGAATTCAATACTGCATCTGATGCAACTGTTGCCCTGGCCTTTGACGGCATTACCATGGAGGAACATGAAGCGAATAAAGAAGGCAACGGAGAGGCGAACGGCCAGGTAAAGGGGCTGTCGATAGTGAGACCAAAGGATTATATTGTACCTTCGCCAACGGAGGAGGAACCCCGTCAAGAGGGTGTTCTATCAAGTGACGTACCTGACTCGCCCAATAAGATTTGCGTGTCGAATATCCCACCATTCATCCAGGAAGACCAAGTCACCATGCTACTGGTCTCGTTTGGTGAATTGAAATCGTTCGTGCTGGTAAAAGATATGGGAACTGAAGAGTCTAGAGTATGCATATTACCCCCTACCCAGTGCTTAGTCGAGATGTGCTAATTTATTACACTAGGGTATCGCCTTCTGCGAATATCTTGATCCATCATCCACTGGAATTGCAGTTGAGGGCCTCAATGGCATGGAGCTCGGTGACAGAAGACTCAAAGTTGGCCGCGCAAGCATCGGCACTGTACAGGCTGCAGGCCTTGATATGGGAGTTAATGCGATGTCCATGTTCGCAAAGACGACATCTCAAGACCTAGAGACTGGGAAGGTACTGCAATTGCTAAACATGGTAACTGCTGACGAACTAATAGATAACGAGGACTATGAAGGTATGATTTCCGAATTTCTCTCATCATTGCCTCTACTAACATATGTCGTTTCAACAGAAATATGCGACGATGTCCAGGAGGAATGCTCCAAGTATGGTGTTGTGGAAGAGCTGAAGATCCCCCGTCCTTCTGGCGGCAGCCGACAGGCAGCCGGCGTAGGCAAGATTTATGTCAAATTCGACACACCCGAGTCGGCCACAAAAGCCCTACAGGCCCTTGCCGGCCGAAAATTCCAGGACCGCACCGTTGTGACTACATATTTCTCGGAGGTAAATCATTTTCCCCACATCCTCTCATCTAACCAGTATGCTTCATCTACTAATGAATATTCTCATAGGAAAATTTCGATGTTAACGCCTGGTAATCTTCACCATTTATTTCCCCATCTATATCACTCAGAGCTATTTACAGCCACCTTCAAGTGGTATGAACCAGTGGGCCGTAGCACGTCCCATCACCCTGATACTTTCCATTTATATCTACCTTGCGTTATCTCCTTGACAACTCTGAACTCTTCCTTGCCGTGATATTGATTGGAGACCCCCCCGCTCGAGACAAATCCAGTGTACAATAACGAAGCGCTGTAAAATCTAATCTGCTTTTTCTTAAACATATCCCTTGCAGTGTATGGCCCTGTCCACGTCATCTAACCCGGGTGACCTCGATGGATAGTGATACCATAACAATGCTGACCTCCCTAAGCTGGGAGGATCCGCGGCTGAATACGGCCCAAAATGCTACAGCTCAAGCCGTATAAATCCTTGCTTATATCGAGTATCCTTAGAGTTGAATAATGCATGTTACACGGGGAGCAGACTCTGCATTAAACTGATAGCTGTCTGGACACCGCTCATTTATTTGCATTTGACATGTATTTGCCATCTACACCGACAGGATCGAATGGCCACTTTCTATAGCAGGCCAGCGTCTGTTACACAGCAGTTGAGTAGATCAACCCGAGGACACAATGTACTCGGTCGGCCGCTCGTTATACCAGAATACGGAATCGGTCAGCTTTCGGATAGGCATATCTCTAACGAGCATCACATAACCATATTAACATATCGATGGTGTGTTTATTAATCCTTCTCACGAAAATCTGCTCTTTTGATTATTCGACTTTGAACTCGAGAGGATACCCAAGCCTTGAACCTGATACTCAGCTTGTAGACCTTGAAAATGCAATATCTAACAGAATTTACCGCATTTATGACAAACGGACAGACAGACCGCAAGGGTGCGCCCTTTTCCTCTTTCTTGTATATATGGCAGGAAAGGTATGGCCAAAGCTTGTATTCTTGTCCTCTGGGTATAGGAAAGCTGTGATTCATTTGTACCTGTTTTGTTTTGCATATTGTAGTGCTTCAACTTTACCTTTGGCATCCATGGCGCTATCATTTCATGCAAGCCATCAATAATTTCGCCAAACGCATGTTTAGCGATCTCCAGACGAAGCATAGACGTAATTAGGACAAACAGACGCTGTTTCTTGCGACGATAGATGCGAATCCAACATGTTCTACACATGAGATAGTTGGATCAGGAGCTCAAATCGTGCGACTTGACGACGCAATGTCCAATACTCCGTACATGTGCAGGCAACTACAAGACACCTTCGAGCTCATGTAGCTGCAGTGCAGGGGACAGCAGATCGTGATGGTGATATTGAATTGTGCATGTAAAGGTCGACGCTGTGTGAGCTTGTCGACCGAGTTGCCAGAGATGCTGCATATTCATATGTAACCAACACAGGCCATGAATCCGAGTATTCCGTGCGAACTGTGCTTGGGCTTCTCCAGAGGTCAAAACATCGCCTCGGGCTCTAGACGTCAGCATAGACATCGGATATTTATGCAGCCTCTTTGCTTGCCGGAGGCTTGTGTCTCCCGGCCCTGACAGAGTTAGAAACGCTATGGTAAGGAAGACAGTGTCGGTATATCGCCGGGTAGAGGGAGCGCTCCGTATCCCAATGCAGTATGCGCTCTCGACTCCCGCATATTCCGCGAGGCCAGAGAGCGACGCTCTGTGGATAGACAGCAGAGAGCCCGAGCCGTAACCATAACGCGAAAGAGGACAATTGTCCCGGAGGAAAGGATACCCTGGCCAAGTTCGACTTTTTCCTCGCTATCCACATGGGAGCTCCATCTGAAAGTATCCCTGGGCTCCTCGGCAAGGGACGATGGGACTTCAGATGCATATCCGGCCCATCTCACCGATACGGGAACTCGAGCGCTGGTACGAAGCCCACCGCAGCCGTAACAATAAAAAGTGTAACGCGTACTCCGTATGTGGGTTCGCTGCGGTGTTCTGGTGTTCTGGCAGAGCGATGTTAGGTTCGGCGACGAAGTTACGCAGATATTAGTTACAAGAAACTGTGGAGGAGCGGGGAGGAGGTTTCTATCTCTGTCCAGACCGAAGAGACGTTTGCACAGGCGACTTCTGAAGTCTGGTAAAGTAAAACATATTAGCAGCCGCGGCAAGTAAAACAAACGGTGAAGTTTCACATCGCGGACTTCGAGCTGAATAGGTTAAAGCTAGCGCTGAACATCTTCTGCCGAGAAATATACGATACCCAGGCGAGCCCCGCATATTGCTGTATCAGCCTCGGAGCTATATAATATGGGTATTATGATGATGGATATAGTATGGGGCGGCCGGAAAGTTGCAGCTAGAAGAGCACGGAAGCGGAGAGAACAGGGATGGCGAGGAACGCTGGGGAAAGAGTTTTGAGGGACGATGTTTCGATGCGGTTGATTATAGTAGTAGTAGAAAGGGCGACTTTGTATAAACATCAATGGCATAAATATGCGCCTATGTACACATCGAATCAAGTGATAATGCAGGTAAAAGTAAAGAAAATCTAGTTGACCCAGCCCCTCCTGTCCGGCACCTGATAAACACCCAGCATAAGAATAAGAAAACGGTAAGCGAAAGGGAAAGTGGTAGACACGTCTTTGGTAGGCTATTAAAAGGAAATACCAGATTTCAAGCGCAGTAAAAGAAAAAGTGTAAATGATAGGTGGATGGCTCTAACAATAGGCCAGCTGTGTGTAAGGAAAACAAGTGAAAAGCCTCCGGTTGACATGTTGTCATGACGGCGTAATTTCCTGGGCACATGAAGGCCGACATGGAACATTAGATAAAAATATATATTTTGCCTTGGAAAAAAGGCGTGTAACTCGGCCCCGATGCCGATGGCCGAGGCGAAGGAGGTAAAGAGGGGATGGAATTAGAAGTCGAGTGCGCGGTATGTGGTATACAATGCTCAAGGACGTCAATGTTTCCGAAGCATGCATGAGGGTGTGTGAGGCCAGCCCTTTCTGACTAAGGGCTTGTTTTTGGCGTAGATGCATGTCGTATAGATGCATGTTATCGGGTTCAGTACACAGGGATAGGTGCGGGATGAGATGCTGACTCGTAAAAGGGATGCAACCCTCTCGAGGTCAGAGCGAGTAACCACCACATGGGGAGGAGGTATGACGCCGCCCGTCATCGTATTAGATCGGACGAGATCTGCTAATATGCAAGGGCCTCTTCTTGGTAGGCGGCCGTTCTCATATTACATTTGGGTTAAAACCCCCGTTGTCGTTGTATAAGCCTCGGGATCGCATGGAGGTGCTGCGTGCAAATGTCGACTGTGGATCCCAGTCCCGTACAGTCGGCTCGTTGCGCTGTGAACTCGGCGGGCGAGGCCTGGAAAAGCTCATCGCGGGGTTTGGATATTTGACTTCGTCATTGTTGGTGTAGTCGACGCTTTCCTTTGCCCCGGACGCCTTGAAGGTGGTCATGGATAGATCTGACTGGCGCGACATGGACAGTAGAGGATCCGGCGATTTAGTGTTCTGATATCGCGAGGAGGGGCCGAACATCGCAAAGTCCGCGTGTGGAGTCGCTCCCCGTGGGGGGAATTCTTGCTTTGGCCGGAATTTGTCTCTGATGAAATGTGCCCAACCGGGAATCATGGAGACTCGGCCTAGGAGGAAAACGGACCAGAAACCACAGAAGGTCAGGAGGAGCAGACAGGTGAATATGAGGCCTTCGGTGGGACCCAACTGCGGCCCTTCACTGACACACTTGCCTACATTCCCATTACTGGTGGCAAGACATAGGAGCCAAGATTTGGCAGCATGGACATTCTCTGGCGTTTTCTCCACCGAGTTGTCGAGGTCGAGGAAGATGCAGGTGAAGAATATAGCGTAGGCCATGACGACAAGGACGACCCCGATGCCTCTCCATTGCATTTTCATCACATGTTTCACACGCTTGAAGGTCTGTCGAGCGGTGAGAGTCGTTACACTGCCGGAGTAGGAAGGAAACGCGGAGCTCGAGTCGGTAGTCGGTTTCTCCTCGAACACTGATCGGATGTATACCTGTGTGCAGTAGAGTAGTGTGATGAGATGAATGACCAAAGATGCGCCGGCAATGGCCAAAATCGGGCCCCAGAAATCTGCAAGACTCTTATCATGATTGACATGGCAGACGTTTCCAAACCTGTAAGATACGCCCGTCAAGACCAGGGCAATCGTAAGGCCCATTGGCGGTATGGCCCAACCCAGTGCTAGGGTGCCTAGAAAAAATTTCTGTCCAAGTACGAGATTCCAACATATCTGTAGATGGAGGGATAGTGTTCGGAAGAAACCTAGAAGCGTCAATTAGCAATGGGATCTCCAGATGTATTCAATACCTGACGTACTCCACGTTATACTGGTCCAGGCCCCGAACAGGACGAAGGCACCGGACCAAGCGCAAGACAGTTCTGAAAACATGTCATTGGGCGTGATTTCGTTATAGCACAGAGAAGGCTTTGAGCCTAGGGGTACAATAAAACCCATCTATATCATTGTTAGAACAGCACTACGGTTTGACAGTGTGGAACACCTACCTGGAATGACATTATTCCTATTATAAGGCAGACGTTCAAATAATGGCGATGCGTCACTTTGACAGGCAGCACGGCGTATGAAACCAGCAGCAACGCATTTGAAATGAACGCCGCAACAGCAAGCCAGTTGGCCACTTCTACCTTTTTCAAGAATCCTACACAATGTGAGCAGCCATGACATGAGAAGGAACAGTGGGATATAAGTATGTCGGTTCGTACCTGGTGAATATCGCCATGCGGCCACCGGACATGGTAGACAGCAAGATATGCCTGTCCACTCGCTGTTACATAGACGGCCCTCCAAATCTAACGGATGACAATTAGAAACTGATAAGAAGTATAGCGCATCCAGCTTCGAATGGTTAACTCACAGCCTCCCCGTGGCGGGAACATATTTTCTTGTAAAAATGGCGGCGGGCAGAACCCTTGATAGGGACGTGTTGATGTCATCTTTGCTATTTCCCGCGCCGGGACGAGACAAG